GGAGTTTGGCCTTCTGTACAGTTCCCATTGGATAGATTAATGTCAGAAAAGGAATCAAAGGAGATTGTGTCAGGGCAGATCGTGACTCTGGACTGGAATACATCAAGGCAATTATTGTCTCCTGTTTAATCCTTGGAATACACCTTGTTGTCTCTGATTGGAAACTTAACCTAGATAAACTTCTGAAAGTGCTGGTAACAGTTTCTCTTTATAGTGACTTTTAAAAATATGAACACACTAGATTTATGAATTCTTCAACAATCTGAACCATAGATTTTACTGGAAATGAGTGGTCCCTGAATTGTGTGGGTATATTGATAAATATTGAAGCTACATGTGCTTTATAGTACTTAATAATAATAATAAGTACTAATGCCTAATAATAACCCTCCCAAACCAAAAACAATAATAAATTGGTCATTTTCAATCTATGACTGTTTGTGGGACATTGCTGTGTGCAATTGGCTGCCGCGTTCGCCCAAAATATACAGTCAATTCACTTTATACTGTGTTCTGTGAAGCGCTTTGGGACGTCCTCCCGACGTGAAAAGCGCTATATCAAATGCAAGGATTATTATTATTATTATTAATTACTGATGGTCTTTGTTCCTGTCTGCTCAGTGGAAGTATCCCTGATTGAATGTCATCTGTTTTTCTATTATCTGGTGTATGACTAACAATGGAGGCTGAATGCTTGGTGTAGTAATTAGTGAACTTGATTTTACTTAGCAACAATAGTCATTTCAGCATAGAATATTTAACAAGGCACAGTTATAATATGGTTACAGTTTAACATTATAAATAATGAATACAATATTTTTATGAAGCAAAGTAAACTACACATTTCACTAGGAAAGTCTGCTTTACATTGTAATAATCGACTCCAAATGCAATCTGTTGTTGAGCTAGATCTTCGAGACGTCTCAAAGCTCTTCACAGAATAATGGATCTATTCACAGAATAGTGCATCCAGCACTCTGACAGTTTCCTGGGGGATCCAGACTTTCTGCGTAGGCTACTGTATTATTGTAGATTGTTTATTAAGATTTGGGGATTTAATAGGGAGATTTGGATGAGATTTTAATCTTTTTTGTATTTTTGATGCTGAAGGTTATTTTTATTACTCAAATTCATACACCGAATACATAATTTTAGCCTACAGCTGCTCGTGCTTGCTTCCTGAAAAATAATTACTGATGGTCTTTTAGTTCCTGTCTGCTCAGTGGAAGTACCCCTGATTGAATGTCATTTGAATTTCTATTTGGTGTATGACTAATAATGGAGGCTGAATGCTTGGTGTAGTAATTAGTGAACTTGATTATACTTACCAACAACAGTCCATCATCTCAGCGTAGAACATTTATTAAGGCACTGTTATATTTTCCCTCCTCTTGTTGAAGCAGATCATTCATTGCTCTAATTGATAAAGCTTTAACTATTTGTTCCAGAAAAAACACTCGTATTCAAAATGTCCAAAACAATATTATAATAATAAAAGTAAACTGCAAACCTGAGGTCATTCATTAATTTTCGAAATAACCCCACAATTGTAGCGGAAGATTTTTAACAAATCCTGAATATGATTCCCTTAAATAATGTTTATTTTGCATTTATGAGTCATTTATTGCCACTGAGAAATTGCGCCATCCATGTGATTCGTTAATTGTAGTTGACTGATTTGCATGTAGAATTCATGCATATAAAGTGTCTACTTTCATTAAAGGTCAAACGGTGAGGCATTTCTGCTCCTGATAAAATCTTTTGCTTAAATGGGTCATTTTCTGTCAACGAGGCATTAATTTGTATGCATATTACATCTCGGCTGACCAAAAAGAAACCATTGAAGCTTGTTAATTGTATCATCCTGGCAGAAATTCTTGTTTGCAGTTAGTTTGTTTCAATAAGTAGATTGTATCAAATCTGACATGTTTGCATTGAAAAAATCCATTAATGTCTGAGGACCTCCTCATTGAAAGGAATATATCTGTTAACTGTAATCCGATGTATTCAAGTAGAATTGTTGTAATTTAAAAGAATTGTAGCTATTAACATGTTGTATGCATAAACCTTTTGAATGTTTTTTCCTTACAATTTATTAAGATTTAATCCTTAACATTTAATGCCTCAGTGGCAGTGCAGAAGATAGCAACCAGTATGATCCCCAATGTTAGAGGTATGAGTTATCAGCTGGGCCAATAGAAAATTGTGAAAATGTTTGCCCCAAATTGCGGGGAGATTTGGCTGTTCCGCAGGAAATTGCGGGGGAAATTTTTGCAGAATATTGCGAGGAGTTGATTGGTCCTATTGAGGTACATTTTACTGTAAAACTACATTTTTCATTTTATTGATAAAAACCAAACATGAGGAAATAACAAGACACCAGCGAGGCTACAGGAGCTCTCAGGGCCCAGCACCACTCACAAACCCAGAGAGAGAGACAGACACAGACACAGAGAGGCACGTTCTCAGAGAGAGAGAGAGAAGCACACTCACATAAAGATATTCACAAACACATAGAGAGACTCACACAGGCACACCCACAAACACACAAAGGGGAGAAAGACACAGACATACTCACACAGACACAAACAGAAAGAGAGAGACACACAGAAACTCAAATGCATATAGATAGATACACACAGACAATCATACACACTCACACACTATCTCACACACACTTAAGCACACAGAGAGACACGCAGACAAGCACAACAGCGGGGCCTCCGAGTGAAGCCTACTTGCCGCTTGTGCCGCACCGCGCATGCGAGTCCGGAACCGCTCCGCCAACAGAACGCCAGGTAAACGGCCGGGAGGCCCATGAGCCAGAAACTACTTTGATCGTGGGTTTGTAGCAGATGGAGTGTTTGTAGTGGATTCCTCACTTTTCTATTGGCCCAGGCTATGAGCAATGATTAGACAAGCAAAGGCTCTTCAGTTTTGAGAGAAGATGATTCAGAGGCAACCTTACAGAGGTGTATAACATTTTAAAAGGGATTGAAAAAGTAAACGCCAACACTACTTTAGGATACACAAAGACAGAAGAAGCCAGAGGATTAGAATTGCAAAGGGAAATCTCAGAACAAATACCAAAATGTTTTTCTTTAAATATATGAAAAATTAAGGACTGGAACAGGTTGCCAGGAAGAAGGCCAGACCATTGATTCATTAAAAAAAACACAGCTTGATATTGTGATGGGAGGTTGGTGGGTAGATAGATATTCTGGAAGGATGAGATAAAACAGGCAGAAGGACTTTCTTCATCTGAATTGATTTTGTGAAATACTGGTTCCTGAGCGGCTTCTGTTATCTGTATTCATGCAGACCTGAAAAAGACTGAGGTGGAACAGCTATTTGTTAGGTCAGGGTATTAAGGGATATGGGGCAAGGATGGGTAAATGGATTTGAGGTACAGATCAGTCATGATCATATATATAGAGTGACGGAACAGACTCAAGCTGAATAGCCTACGCCTGTTTCTATGTTTCTAAGTGACCATACAGGCCTATTTCTTAGGTCGTCTCTAGTTTTATTTCACTTCGGAAAGAGTTCACTGCAGGTACAGAAACGTGATGTAACGTGATGATTATCAAATTGCACGTGCAATGCCACCACTCAGCTGTGAGTGTTGGGCATTTGGACGTCAGATGCCACTATTGAATTTGGAAAGTGACCCAAGTCTCGAGAGTGATGGACTGCGCTACCATGAGAAAACTACAAATGAGAATTTGCATCAGCCTCATTCTTAGTTAACTGGGTGTCATTGTGGCAAGATATCTGATGAAAATGATATTGTACATCCTCAAAATGAAGATCCTTTTAATTTTTCAGAAAACACCCGGTTTACACATATTCACAGTGGACAGACACATTCATAGAATTCTAGTTCTAGACCTTCTGAGCCCCAGAAATAATCTATCCCTATCCAAGCCTCCCAATATCTGATATCCCGCAAATATTTAAGCGCTCTGAGACACCGTCGGGTGTGAACGGCAGATAAAACCCCATATAAGCTGTTGTTATCATATCTCTTATCAGCCTTCTGAGCTCCAAAGGAAAAATATAGTACAGATACATACTGTTTTTAAAATTCCTGCCTTGCACAATAAGTGTACAGTGCATTCACTGAAGTCCCTTCTTGTACAAAGTGACATCAGTGACACAGTCTAATAGAATGGCCTACTCCTGTTCATGTGTTCCTAACACTTCCTGTGTGTCGTGCAGTCCAAGGAATTGGCATTAGCAGCAGTTCCAGTGCATTTGACATGTGCCCAGAAGTCAGCCAGTAAGCGCTGGAAGTGTGTCACATTTCTGAGATAGCACAGATCTACCCTGTGACTCCTATACGTGGACCAGTGCTATGTTGAAGTGTGATATAGTGGGGTTGGCCTGTGATTGTGTCATTAAAATGAGGACACTTGCAGGGCCATTTTTCTACCAGCAGAAGGGCAAGTTATATCCTGAATTATGTGTGCGATTGCTGCTCAGCACAATATCTGCTGTTTGTTTCTACCAACTGGAAATCACACAAAATGACCAATTCTTTAGTAGAAGTACAGAAAATGAAAGAAAAAAAGAGCTAACAACAAAAATAATTTTTTAGAAAAATCCCTGCCTACAATGTCAAAGCATTTCAGCGTGCTTCACCATTAATTAAGTGTGGTGATTGTTTGTAGGCCAACATAGCAGACATTTTTTATGCAGCAAGGTGCTATAAATTACTATAAAGTGAATTAACAATTTATTTAGAGAATTGGTGCTGAGGATCCTGGGAGAATATCTTATCTTTTTGAATTATATCATGGAATGCTCCTTATGTAATCTAGTTTGGCGATTACATGTCTTATGATTATTTTGATTCCATTATTGAATACATTAACTATATTTGATATTATCTTTTGTACTTACAAATCCACAAATTGAAATGAAACAATGACATGAGATGTTGGTACCTTGAAATAACTAATTTTCCATGAAACTTAGAATTTACTTTGCTGTTGCAGGAAACAAATGAAATTGTGGCCATCAAGAAGTTCAAGGACAGTGAAGGTAAGGACAAATTATAGAAACAGACACACAGACCATAGATTGTGTTCATGTAAACTGCTGCGATTATTGCAAATGTTAGTTACTGTGATATACACATATCGTAACTCTCAGTGAAGAATTCTCTTGAACAAGGATATTTTCTGTATAATTTCCTACAACTAGTTTTATATTTAATGAGTAGCCTGGAATCGTAACTTGACCTTTATCCCATACCAATGTATTGACAAACCCCTCTGTAAGGTCCATCACTTGAATAATAACCTTGATCTTGAGGAGGAGGTAAGATTTTGCTCCTTTATGTATTTATATTTGTGGAGTCCTGTAGCTCAGTGGTTAGAGCACTCGCTTTGCAAGCGAGAGACCTGAGTTCAATTCCAGGCAGAGGGCGAAACCTTGGGCAAGTTTCCTTACTCCACACGCCTAATAATAATCCCTCCAAAACCAAAAACAATAATAAATTGGTCATTTTCAATCTACGACTGTTTGTGGGACATTGCTGTGCGCAATTGGCTGCCACGTTCGCCCACAAATATACAGTCAATTCACTTTACAGTGTGTGCTGTGAAGCGCTTTGGGACGTCCTCCCATATTGTTATTATACTTCTTTGATAGAGTGCAGAAAGTTATTTCAATCTACGGTAAGATTAAACATAGATTTTGATTATATATTGTTTGCTTCTGATTCTCTCTTACCATCACCTTCCTAGTTTCTGGGTGATTTGTCAAAGTTTTTCATCAGTTCAGATCACAGCAGGTCAACTTTGCAGAATCTGAGGGTGCCTATTTCACTTCTCTTGTGCATACTTCAGTGCTAGTCATAGTCAATTAAATAGATAAAATATGGAAGTTTTCCTCATCAGCATTCATTGCATTCGGCAGGGGGAGTACATTTGCACAGCACATTGTGATTGACGGTTATAATATTTCCAACAACAAGGCTAATGCACTCCTAAAGATTGATGAAGATTGTTGTGCAGAGCGACAAATTACATCAATTAGTTCTCTTACTCTGTGGGAGTGCAATCTGCCATCATGTCTTACGTATTGGGGTCTAGCTATAGAGTTAAAGCAAAATTGTTTGAGCAAATCTAGGGAAAATACAGTAAACTCCTGAAACTCGACTTTGGCTTAACTTTACACTGCCACTTAAGTCATCATGCTGTCAGTATCTCAGATGCATTTATTTATATATTTGTATTTATACATATACCTAACTTGCCACTCCAGATAACTTGTCACAAGGCCCTTTTCCCTTGGACTGCTGAGTGAAAGAGTGGTTCTATAAAGAGCAATTTTATAGATAGAGAGAAATAAATTTTAAAAAGTGCAAAAGTGCAGCCTTTTCTGCTTGCTTCATGAAAGTGTAACCAAGTCATAATATAACATGATGGAATTTACAGAGTAATTGATGATATAATATTTTCTACAATTTTGTCTATTAGACGGAAATTGGTTACTTTAAGAATAAATTGTAACCAAATATTTTTTCATTCATTCCCAGAAAATGAAGAAGTTAAGGAGACAACATTGAGAGAGCTTAAAATGCTCCGTACTCTGAAGCAAGAAAACATTGTTGAGCTTAAAGAGGCTTTTCGAAGAAGAGGAAAACTATATTTAGTCTTTGAATATGTGGAAAAGGTGAGTATTAATACAAATAGCAGATTTCCGGACCTGAGATTTCCTGCTTGATTTCATGGGTGACAAAATTTCATGTGGCAAGTTTCTTTGCAAGCTCATTGAGCAAATGCATAGCATTCAAACCAAGAAGGTCCCATTTTCTATCTGTAGTTTGTATTGAATTAGACAATGTCAAGCAGATGAGTCGCAGGAGTTCTACAATTGGCCTTTCAATTTCCCAACGAGGGAGAAAAATAAAGTAGCCTGACGTTGCCATTTCTGATTGTTATCTACTGACACCTGCTAGAAGGTGCATGTGTGAGGACTGGATTGAGTGAACTCCACTGTAGAGTACACTGATGTTTCCCGTCTCACCTGTAAAGAATAATTACTTGTCTAATGTGTGGCTGTCCGCACCTATGGAATTGTGTCCAGCTGCCTTGATGAGGGGAGGAAATAAAATGAAATGGAAGAAATTACAATGCTTAATATTGCATGATGCTTTGGAGATGTATATTGATTGATTCCTGGTCTGCGCTGAGTTTGCTGACCTCAGCTAGGATTGGGGTTAATTTGGGTACTACTGTTGCCACAGTGCCTTTGAATAAGAGAAGGGTAAACATAAACCAGTACTACATTTATTTTGCTACTGATCACCATCCAGAACCTTTTAGACAGTACCTGTGTAGAAATCAAGTAAGCATTGTGCCTGATTTGTATTTATTTTATTATGAATTTAAATTTGCTTCTTTGTCAACCATATATTTGAAATAATGCTTATGCCTTTAATGAAACATTCTGTATGTGTTGAACAGTATGGTTAGTTTTCAGAATATGCTTGTTCATCCTTTTTTCAGAACATGCTTGAATTACTTGAAGAGATGCCAAATGGCGTTCAACCTGAGAAAGCGAAAAATTATATCTACCAACTAATCAAAGCAATTGATTGGTGCCATAAGAATGATATTGTCCACAGAGGTAACCATGACTAAATTAACAAATGTAAAGAGGTGTTTGTTTCAGATATAACATCTGCCTCATTTTCTACTTTTTTTTATTAAAACTTTGTAAGCTCTCCCAGGAATCCCAAAAGTACTGCCTGCAAAGTACAAATGGTTTATTCTTGGCTCCCGACACTTTTCTTTGTTTCTTAGTTGCAAATGGGGAAGACAGAGGTTATTGCACGTTTGATAAAAGTAATCTGTTCTCAAATATGACTGAGGGCAAAATTGACATAGGAGTGAACAATGGATCATGCTCTCTCTTCAGCTCACAGAGCACTACTCAATTGTTCCCATTATTATTACTAGAGTGTATGACAGCGATGTTCACTTATCAGACAATTGGTTTTACATGTTATATTTGCTCACTTAGTCCTGTTTTCCAATGGAACGTTTGGTTTTATGGGATAGGGCTGACCTGCAGGTTTGACTTCAACGTATGATTCTTAGTCATCATTAAAGCTATTGTTTATTATTGAGTTGTTTTATGGGAGAGGAGGATTTTATCCTTCAGAACTGAATGTAAGTAAAATTCTTTAGAAGTCCAAATTACTTGACTTGCTATATGTATTTTTTCCCACAGACATCAAACCAGAAAACCTTTTAATAAGCCACAAAGATATGTTAAAGTTGTGCGATTTTGGTAAGTCACTTGTGACATTCCCCTTGTTGAGAAATGTATCTAATATTCAGAGTATTGGTGTTTTTAATGCTATATCCTAAATAGAAACAGCTCTGATATGGTAACCCTCTGTCAGATGCTATTGGAAATAAATCTACGAAAGGTTTTTTTTCAGTATTGCTAGAGAGTCAATATGATATAATGCAGCCATGCTATCTGTGGACACTTGTCATCTTAGTCCTTGAAGAGTTCAATATTGTTTTCATCAACCTCAATGAGGAATTTTCATTCATGACTCTTTCTTTGCCTCAGTGTAGCAAAGGAAACACTCAAATGTTTATTTTGACGTCTGATTTGCATTGGTGTACAAACAACTTTTCTGAACCAAATGGATAACCTAATTAATTTACCCATAGAAGCACTCCACTTTATAGTAAAATCCTGTGAAGCGCTTAGAGATGTCCTTACGTGAAGTGCACTATATCAAATGCAAGGATTATCATCAAATTAAGATTCTAATTTCAGGGTTTTGACTTGTAGATAATATTAAATTGACTTTGAGAAACCTTGGAAGTTGTACATGAACATTTTCTTGTTAAAATTGTTTTGAATGAGTTAACAAAATAACATGTGCATCTTATGTTACAGATGCTATGTTAAATCTGAATGTTTGCATATTTTTGCATATTTTTTGACGCATTTTTTGATTTCTTCAGTGCAATGGAAATGTCTACTTTCATGATTTGGAAATCACAATTAAACTATGTTACTTAAATAAATTCTTGGATTTACAGGATTTGCTAGGAACTTGTCAGAAGGTAGCAATGCCAACTACACAGAATATGTGGCCACTAGATGGTATCGTTCACCTGAACTATTGCTTGGGCAAGTAGACAGCCAATTTAATACAATTCAATCTCAATTGGTAGAGAAAGCTGTAACATAATGAATTGTTTTTGAAGATTTACTTAAACAAAATTAAATAATTGCAACCTATAAAATATAATTTATACATCAGTATATTGAATAGGAACATACTGTGACAGTTAAGACTCACAGTTTAAATTGATTTGGGTATGCAGTTGGATATTCACCTCACCTATTGTAAATTGAGGACTGCATGTTTCAATGGATGTCAAAGAAAAATTCTGTACTCAACTCATTGGTTAGATAGTTGTAATGATGCAACAATGAACTGTCAACTAGAAATCTGTGCCCATTTTCTGCAAAGATTCAATTTGCTGGGCTTTACTGTGTTGGTTTCACTGACTGTTATACTATATACATATATCAAGCTGCGTACTGTTCATTTGGTATAATTCACCCTCAAGGTACACAGTCACTACACTTTACAATATATCCTGTGAAAGCTTTGAGATGCTTCCTTACTTGAAAGGTGGTATATCGAATGTAAGGATTATTATTATTACAATGTCAGTCACAGTCCAAATAGGCATACCTTTTATAGCTCATAAAATATTTTAATGGACAATATTTGCAATATTTACTGGTAGAATGTATTTCAGAATTTTCCTTTTTGAACATTTTTTCTGAGGTGTATTTTGACTCTTAAATGCCTATAACCAAAAAAAAGCCATTTTGTAATCTTTCTAACTTTAAATCAATCATTCCATGTTTTTTCTTCCCATACAGAGCTCCATATGGGAAAGCAGTTGACATGTGGTCTGTGGGCTGTATTCTTGGTGAACTAAGTGATGGACAGCCCCTATTTCCAGGGGAGAGTGAAATAGATCAGCTTTACACAATCCAGAGAGTCTTGGGACCATTGCCACCAGAGCAGATGAAGCTTTTTTATAGCAATCCACGTTTTCATGGACTGCGGGTATATTGTTTTAAATTCATAGTGTAATATTCAGCTATATAGACCATGGAAGTTCCAGGCTTGTTCTCTAGTCTGTTCTGAATTAGCTGATCTCAGCATGAGTGACAAAGAGTATGATGACTGGCTTCAGTGGCTTGGGATAGTCGGAGGGGAGGGGGGGGGGATAGGGGAATATCATCTGGGTCTCACTGGGTATTGCTATCCAGAAATCCCTATGAGAAATTAAATTGTGCGTGGACATTGGATTGGCTTTCATTCGCTGATGGACAATAGCTTGCCTACGCTAACTTTCTCAGCTGATGCATGAAGAATGGCCAGTTCGACAAGGTACTATAGTAATGTGGAACCATCCTCTAGTATAAATATCTACTGTGCTTTCAGTAGAGAAGGTAAGCAGTGCAAATACAAGGCACAGATGGACTGAGATTAGGGTGCATTAAATGATTAACCAAAGCTGTGATAATTAAAATCTTCTTAGAGACCTGTTTTATATTTGTTAATGTTTTTACTTTACCCTGAAATATCATGAAAGTCATTAGCAAGAACATTTACTCAAACCTCTAAATGTGCAGCAATGCAACTTTGGAAAGAAATATGAAATCTTTTACTACATGGACATCTGTAATATTTATTAGTTTTTTTATATAAAATATTTTAGTATTGTCCAGTTATTTAGGAACTTTCTAGTTTTTATTACAAAAAATGAGACAGACTAAGTTACTTACACAGATATATTTTGACTGTTGCTGCTAATTTGATCAGTTAACCCTTCTCTTTTACACGTTTATAGTTTCCTGCTGTCAACCATCCTCAGACTTTGGAGAGAAGATACCTAGGGGTTATTAATGGAGTTACACTAGATCTTATGAAGGTATCAAACCATAATTTGAATGTGTTGATTTATTTATACGTTTTCAGACTTATTTACGAATTAAGTCTGGTTCTTTTTATGTTTCATTCAGTTCTTTATTAATGGATATTAAACATTAAAAGCTAACTAATATTAAAAAAACTTGAAAGCTCCAAAGTGGGTTTTGTTTAGCAATGTGCAATTTTTTTTAATTGAAGATCAAATGATCCTACCTGACCCATGTTAAGCAAGCGACTTAAGATGTCATTCTGATGTGAAAGGCCCTATGTAACTGTAAATTTGTATTCTATTTCATTGTTATGTATATTGCCTTTGTAATATGTAGATAAGACAATAATGTTTATTCTGTTTTTTAAAAAGAATTTGCTGAAACTAGACCCATCTGAAAGATATCTGACAGAGCAGTCTCTGAACCACAGTGCTTTCCAGACTCAGAGACTGTTATACCGATCTGGTGGTACTTCCCCTTCTCGGTCAAGTAAAAGGAAGCCTCATCATTCTGACAGCAGCGGAGGATCAAACAGGTATTGGTGTAGTAATTTCACTTGTCTGAGTCCTGAAAAACATAAGAGGATTGCTCTGTTTTCCTGTATCAAAAACTAGTTCCATGGCCTACTTAGTGACATACATGTGGAGTCCTGTAGTTTAGTGGTTAGAGAACTCGCCTTGCGAGAGGACCTGCATTTGATTGCCAGGCTGAGCGAAACCTTAGTCAAGTTTCCTTACTCCATATGCCTCTGTTTACCTAGCAGTAAGTAGGAACCTGGTTGTTAGTCGATTGGCGGATCGCTTTCAGGGGTAATAGTCCCTCCAAAAATAAATAATATTACTCAATCCACTTCTGTTTGTGGGACATGTGCAATTGGTTGTTGCATTTTGCCCACAAAGTACACAGTCACTACACTTTACGGTATATTCTGTGAAGCGCTTCGAGATGTCTCAAAGATATGATAAGGTGCTATATCAAATGCAAGGATTATTATATAATCAACTTCACCAGTAATAGGTTATTTTGTACCCATTTAAAAAAATGCAAGGATCATTATCATCATTACCTCCATTTTTTATACATTGCAGTAAATTAGTACAGGTATTTTTCTACAGTATGAATGACTAAGCTGATGAGATTTGCTGGGACAACATTTGCAGATAATCTGTAACAATCATGTTGTCCTTGGCATCGGTCCAGTTCAAATACAAGTATTAATTTGTATGTCCCATGTGTTCCAAAAGACAGATTACTGTTTGGGCAACAAGCTGACATTTAAACTGGTGTTGCGTGTTGTTTCTTATTGCCACAGGTTTATTGAGTCAGCTTTAACTGATTTATCTTCGTTGAAAAATTGGGAGACCAATTACATTTTGGTGAGGGGTTCACTCTAATTCACCTTGAACCTGTGTCTTTTTTGTTTAAAACTCCAGATACTCTCAACACAAATTAATGTTTGCCATCTATTGGAGCGGGAATGGACCCCGGAAATCATTTTGAATGTTTGTGCTGGAGAATGTTTTTAACATTAATATGACCTGAAAAGCGCTATATCAAATGCAAATATTATTATTTATTATATTTATTATATTTTGATTGTGTAAGCTAGAACTTGTAGTTATGCAACTTATATAAAATTGCATTAAAGGCTCAACAAATGCAGTCAGAATTCGATGCAAAATATTTCTGCTTTATTCATTTGAAAATGTTCTTTGTTTTGCAGAAATCACGGAAGTAAAAATGCATCAACTCGAGCAGACAATAGAGACCAACAGAATCTAGGTGTTAGTTTTAAACGGGGAGATGAGAGCCATGATGGTTTTTCTAATGGAAGTTCAATTCCACTCAGTCCAAGCCTTATTCCCCATCAAGACTATCAACATAGCAAACGGAACCTCTCTGGTAACAAGGAATTAACTAACAATAATTTGTCACATATTCCCAGCCCACGACTAACCTCCAAGGAAGTACATTCTAAATCCAAAACTGATTTCAAGGCTGAACAGAAGACTGCAGAAGGCCCAGGTGCAAAATACTTAAAAGCGAATACAAAATCTGAAAAGAACAGGCACTCATTCATAGACATGCCCCCAAATAAAACTGGAACTTTGCCAATGGAAAAGCCAAACCGACACAGTTACATAGAACCAATACAAGGCTCTGTTACTCAGCAGCCAAAGAACTCAGCACTTTTAACACCATCAAAAACTTACAGAACACTGAGTGACTCTCGGTCAGTCGGAAATCTTAGTGAAATGAGAATGCACGGGGAGGACCCAAGCTCCAAATATTTCCCTTCTAGCTGCTTGGAGCTCAATGCCCCCAACAATGTTACACCAACTGGACCCAGTGAAAACAGGTCACCACAAAATCCAGCAGCGCTTAGTAAAGGACTGGAAACTCGCAGATCAATCACAAGACACTCGACAAATGAAGATGAGCTAAAGGTCCCTTCTGGCCATCTTGAGGGAGTCCATTCTCATTCAATATCAGCTCCACACGAATCTTTCCCTTACGACCTGAACTATCCTAGTCCTTATGCCTCTAAGCCACGCTCCCAGAGACGTTCATTGTATATACCACGGAAGCAAGGGTCTGAGAGTGGCTCTGGAGTTATGGGGCAGGTGCCTGTCAGAACAAATAGCCTGCAGATGTTATCTCCTCAAATGCAACATGCACGGACAGCTCTTAACAGAGGTTCTGTTGGCTCCTCTCGTGAAGACTGTGCAGATGTCCCTGGGGTCAGTGTTAACTTTCCTCTGCAACCTTTGAGTCGGCACAGCATTTTGATTCACTTTTCTAAGTAGAGCTATAAGGGGACACAAAACGCTGGACATAATTCAATATAACAAGTAGAAAAGTTTGGTTACATTCTGCATACCCAAGATGCAAGTAAAGAGGTTTTCTACTTGGTAACAAAAGTAATGATCAGAAACATTCCCTCATTAATTTTTCAGCAATACTGTCTAAACATTATTGATGATAAGATTTTTTACTTTCAGGCACTGAATTAGTTTTTGTGTTTATTGGAATTATTCGAGCTGTTTTGAGCAGTTTAAATTGTGCCCACTACTCCATATACAATATGGGTTCACGGATTTCTCAATGGAATCACCCTTCACTGATCATAATATACAGTAGCAGAGAGCTCTGCATTTGTAGGACTGCTTTCCATTGATTTTTTGGGGATTTAAAATGTCTTGGTAAAGTATATTTGATTTATGAAGTGAATCGAAATGATCATTAGATATGAGAACTTCCATCTTTTATTCTAAACATGTGAATATATATCTTGGGCTTGTTTATGCCAACTCCCTGCTTGACTATGCAAATGCCCTGCTTGTCAGTCTTCCCATCTCTTCCCTCCACAAGCTGCAGATCATCCAGAACTCTGCACTTGTGTCCTCTTCCGCACCAAGCTCCGTGACTCCATCACACCCACGCTCGCCCAGCTCCACTGGCTCCCCATCCTTCAGAGGATCGAGTTCAAAATTCTCGTCCTCACCTTCAAGGCCTTCCATGACCTTGCCCCCTCCTACCTCTCCGACCTGTTAACCCCTTATCAACCTGTCCGCTCCCTCCACTCAGCAGGCTCCGGCCTGCTCCATGGCCCCCGCCCGACCCTCCGCACCATCGGTAGTCAGGCCTTCAGCCTCCCTGCCCCCACCTTCTGGAACTCCATCCCACATTTCCTTCACCTCGCTCCCTCCCTTGCCTCCTTCAAGGCACGCCTCAAGACCCTCCTCATCGACCGTGCCTTCAGCCACCCTCCTACCCTCTCTGCCCTCCAGCCTCCCTGATCCTGCAGTACACAGGAATATGTTTTTTTTCATCTTTAGATCATTTCTGTTTCAGACTGAACAGGCCTTTCCAGATGGCAAACATAGCAGACCACTGATCAAAGACTCTACCCGGGACAATGCAATGCCATTCCATAGCCACCAGCATCAAATTGAGGTCAGACCTAAATTATTTTCTCTTCTGTAACCCACAGCTTGTGAATATGCTTCTCGTTGATGAGCTTTCATTAATTACTTTGTATTCTGAGCCTTGATCTGTGCATTTGAAAACTTTCATATATAATTTCACATTTGCAATGTCTGACTGCTGTTGCAGGTGTAGTACATAAAACACTATTTAATGTCTAGAAGTTTAATTGGTGTCGCTAATACCGTCCTTCAAATGAGAAATTAAACCAGCGTCCTGTCTGCCTGTTCATCAAGTGGATCTTAAGGATCCTGTAACACTATCTGAAATGATAAGTGTCCAGGACAACAAACTTTCAAGATAAAATGGTCATTAACTTCATGGCTGTTTGTGGGACCTCGCTGTGCCTAAATTGTCAATTGCTATGACCTAAAAATATACATTCACTACATTTGGCAGGAATGAACTGAGAAGTGCTTTTAGATGTTTCAACTTTAAAGATGCTGTAAATAATACAAGGGTTATTATAAGGTATTTCATGATGCTTGCATTTTCTGTTAAGCATCTTAATCAATTTCTGCTTTAATATATTGTTTCCAAAATGATGAATTTTAAGTGAAATTTTCTACTGTTTACATTTTAGCCTGGAGGATATCATGACTTGCATTCAGAAGATGGATTATCCACAAAAGAAAATAAATATGTGTTTTCTGAAACAGTTCCCAGGGACAGACGTGTAAGGAGTTATTACGATGGTAAGTATAAAACTTAATGACCAGATAAGTTTGGAAGATAATAGATTGGTGAGATACCTTTTACATTTGATTATACTGTATATGTTCCATTTTATTTCCTGGCTTATATTGTTTGTGCAGACTATTCTTCATTGGAGGGAACGTTTGAGCGAGGTCCAATCAATGTACCAATGGCCAGTAATGCTAAGTCAAAACATTCAAAAAGACATACAGCTTTTGATCTTTGGTAAGTAAACAGATAACGCTTTTATTTTTTCATTTCTTTGTACCCGAATGACATCTTTTGAAGAGTCATGCACAAGTTCACACCAGTAGTACTCGACCTTTACAATGTTGACATCTTTGCTGTATGGGTGTGTGCAGTCTTTTATAAAGAAATGCAGTAGTCCAAAATGTCACAAAATTATTATCTTAAAATTTAAGATCATGCAGAATTTTTGAAAATTTTTAACTTCAGTCTTACTTTGAAATCTAGTTTTCACAGATCTTTTTAAGGGTGAATTTCCAAAATTTTATCCAATCTTAAATTGTGAAACAATGGTTTTAAGGCTGAGACAATGAGACATTTCAGATAATTGTTTATGCATTGACATTTCGAGCTTCAATTGAGTCAATTTTCAAGGCAATGTGCTTCCAATGCAGAGCAACAATAGAAACCAGAGTTCTAAGCAAAACTGAACCTGCATCCTCCCACTCCATGACTGAGCATTACTGTGAATGCACAGCACAAGCAGAACATTTATTCCAATTATGATTGCTGAATGCAAATTACGTGGGTTTCCCTCATTTGTGCAATATGCTTCTTGATTAATAGATTTACTATTCAATTTATATAATGTAAGATATTGTTAAATCTAAGCTTGCATGTTGTATAGAGTGTTGTTGGATTGTTGCTTCTCTTCCATAGTATTATGTACATGTGGACAAATCTTGAGGACAGTTGTCATATTACTACTTGCGATTTTACTTTAGTCGTTAAAAGGTGTAGATGTTTATGTGCATATGAGATTAGCAGGAGGTATACACCAACAACAAAATTACATTTGTATGGCGCCTTTCACGTTGGGAGGACGTCCCAAGGAGCTGGACAATCAATGTGTCGGACTCAAGCTGGGGGTCGGGATCGGGGAGGGTGGAGGGCAGGGGTGCAAAGTGGGTGATCGAAGGCACGGTTGAAGAGGAGGGTCTTGAGATGGGTCTTGAAGGAGGCAAGGAAGGGGGCAAGGCGGAGGGATTTAGGGATGGAGTTCGAGAAGCTGGGGGCAGAGTGGCTGATGGCCCACCCGCCAATGGTGGGGTGGGTGACATTGTGCAGGCTGGAGGCCGCTGAGCAGAGGGAGCGGGCAGGTTGGTTGGGAGTTAGGAGGTCACAGAGGTAGGGGGGAGCAAGGCCGTGGAGGTCTTTGAAGGTGAGGACCAGGATCTTGATGTTGAAGGTGAGGACCAGCATCATTTATGTTATAAATGTGTGTATGAGGGTTTTGGCGGCCTGCAGTGTGAGGTGTGAGACAGTGGCGGAGCCGGGCAATGTTGTGGAGGTGAGGAAAGGTAGAGGTGGTCATGGCACAGATGTGGAGTAGAAAGGAGAGTTGAGGGTCAAACAAGACGCCAAGGTTCTGGACTGGCTCAGTAAGGTGGAGTGTGCATCCTTGCATAGTGATTCTGCCAGCGCCTGGGTTGTGGAGGCGCTGATGGGAGCCAATCAGGAGAGCCTCGGTCTTGCTGACGTTCAACTGAAGAAAGTTACCTCTCATCCAGGACTTGATGTCTGACTGACATTCTGTCAGGACAGCAGTGGTCCTGGAGTCAAGGATGGAGGAAGAGAGATAGAGTTGGGTGTCATCAACATGTATGTGGAAGTTGATCCCGTGCTTGCAGATGATGTCATTTTCAAACATATAGAGGGAGTATGTAGATATTGAAGAGGAGGGGGCTAAGGACAGAGCCCTGAGGCGGTGGAGGAGGATAGAGTGGTCAACATTATCGAAGACAGCAGAGAGGTCAAGAAGGATGAGGAGATGGACAAAATGTCATGGTCACAGATGGACAAAATGTCATTTGTCATTTTGACCAAAGCGCTGTTTCTGTGCTGTGGGCGGCACGGAAACCCGATTGGAGGGGGTTCGAGAAGGGAGTGATGGGAGAGGAAGGAGCGAAGCTAAGAAGCAATGACTCGTTCCAGGACCTTGGAGAGGAAAGGGAGGTTGGAGTTGGGCTCTAGTTTGAGAGCAGGGATGGGTCCAGGGAGGGTTTTTTAAGGATTGGGGTGATAACAGCCTTTTTAAAGAGGTGGGAACAGTGCAAGTGGACAGGGAGAAGTTTATGATGTCTGTGAGTAGAGGGGCAAGGAGGTGGAGCTCAGAGATAAAGAGGGGTAGCAATAGGGTCGTAGGAGCAGGTGGTCGGTTTCATGCAGGTTATAGTGGTGGTGAGAGTATATATGGTTTGATACATTTTTTAAGGCTGTTTCTGCAGATGTTCTGTCTATGGCCAGTACTTTGTCCGATACATACTGAGAATGCTCTGGGCCTAACTTTGTCAGTGCTGCTACTGGTGAGAGAAAGCGCTGTGCTGTTTCCTTATTTAGCTTGCCAGTGGCTTACAAGAAGTAATTGGTGAGATTGTTTTTAACTGTTATCAGCCATTCATGGAATGTATTTTCTAAATAAATTTTGTTCACTCACTTAACCCTATTGAGTTTATATTATGCTGTTAACCTGAAGATTAATAAACAATTGTTCTGTGACACAGAATGTTACAGAATAGAAACAGACCATTTGGTCTGTCACATCTGTGTTGCTGTTTCTGTCCACATGAGCTACCTATTATAATTCCACTCTCGTTTGCTACCATACCTTTTAATATTTCTCTTTTTCAATCTTTTACCTGATTCATTTTTTAAAGTATTTATGGACTCTGCTTCAACTTGGTTTGTGATAGTCAATGCCATATTCCAATCCCCACTGTCTAAAAGAAATTTTAGCTTTTCCTTTGTTTTATTTTATGATTCTTAAATTTGTGTCCTCTCATTAATGGAAATAATCTATTTACTTTATCATGACATTTTATGATTTTGAAGACCTCTATTATGTCACTCTTAAACCTTAACAGCTCTTGTGTGGAAAAAGTCCAAACTTATCAAGTCTCTCTTCATAACTGAAACCATTTACCCTGGTAATAGTTAATGAAACTATGCGACTTCAACATTTTCATTTGACTTTCCTTCAACAACTCGCATTTATACAGCGCCCTTTATGCGGGCTAGCGCTTGATAGTGGCGGAGTCCTATGCCGAGCCAGGGAGAGAGGGAGGGGGAGATGACCATAAACACTATCAAAAAGGAAGGTCTTTAGGCGGAATTTTAAAGTGGGGAGGGAGGGGGCAAGGTGGAAGGATTGAGGAGAGAGTTCCAGAGTTTCGGGGCATAGTGGCAGAAGGCACGGCCACGGACGGTGGAGGGGATGAGGAACCAACAGGAGGCCGGAGCCAGCGGGTGGTGGAGTAGGGGGAAAGCAGATCGGATAGGTAGGGTAGTGTGAGGGCATGAAGTGATTTGAAAATGAGTGAGAGGATCTTGAAATCAATCAGTTTGGTAATTGGGAGCCAGTGAAGCCGGGCAAGGACTGGTGTGATGGGTGTACGGAGTTTTGTGGGGGTGAGTATCTGGGCAGCAGAGATTTGGATTAATTGAATATTGTGTATGGTGAAGCTGAAGAGACCAGTGAGGAGGGCATTGGAATAGTCCAGCTAGGAAGTGACAAAGACGTGGACGAGGGTTTTGGCTGCATTGGTTGTGTACAGAAGGAGGCGGACAATGTGATGGAGGTAGAAAAAAAAGTGGTCTTGGTCAAGGAATAGATATGTGGTAGAAAGGAAAGCTGGGGATTGAACTTGACCCTTTCCATTGCTTTTATTATTCTTCGTAGAATGAGGCATCCCAAACTGAACACAATACTCCCAAGTATACGCTGGATATAATTGTATTGTTTTATGAACTATGTACTCTGTATTATGAAGATTGATATGTCATATGTTTTGTCTTTCAATTACTTTCAGGAAAAGTACAGAAAATCTTAACATCAATCCTCCTGAACCAACTAAGGAAAAAGGAAAGGGTTTCTTCAGAGCAATAAAAAAGAAAAAGAAGAAATCGCAAACGGTGAGTCTCTCTTTCGAAGAGCATTTGTAACACTGAAGCGTTGCATCACTAATCCAAAAGGGAAAGCTTTTTGGAGCGGTGTTCATAGATTTTTTTCTAATTTATAATATTAAAAAATGTTTTGAGCCAGGATCAGAATGTTTCCTTGCAGTCTGCCAGGTAAGAAAATAATCGTACTGTCTGGATAATGAAAGGAATACAAAAACTTTTTAACCCAAAGAACAATCGAAAAGTTACAAGAAGGCATGATTTTCGAGGAGAGGCAATCTTTTTGTATGCCCTAAGCATCTCAATTTGAAAGAGAATTCCACTTTCTGGATGAAGGAAATACAAACATGTGATTAGATTTGTTCGGGCTACTGACTTAGGCATAGGCAGATCCAGCAAATAACAAGAATTTCAGGCTATTCATGCTGGGTATATGAATATGACTCACTGTATTAATTTTTCAAGGTAATCACTGAAGTGTCTTTTTGAATAGTGTCATGGAATCTTTAACATCCACCTGAACAGGCAGACACAGACAGGACCTCGATTTAACATCTCATCCAAAGGTGGACACTGAAACACACCCCCAGCATTGCATTGGGAGTGTCAGCTTAGACCATGTGATTTCAGTCCTGACATGGGACTTAAACCCACAACCTTCTGACTCAGAGACGAGAGTGCTACCTTTGTGCCAGACTGATACTCTAAATGAATTCTGCTCTGTGTTTGAGTGTTGTAGCTTATGCTACAACTTTGCTTCGTAGGAAACTAAGATGAATTGAGATTTTGAGGAATGGAATTGATGTATTTCTAAATTCAAGTTTAAGTGCTATCAAGCAACTGATTGTTCTTTTAATAGCGTAGAAGCTTTTAGTTACAGATCTGACAGCTAGCTAGCTGTCCAATTTTACTTGTGACATGGAGCTTGCTTTAGTTTATTCAGTTTACATGCTTATTTTATACACACACTCAACATTTCTGACTGATTAAACTGAATATGGTTCAGAACAAAGTTACAGAAGATTATTTAACCAAAATAGGCAAACTAACACTGTTCCTGCAAAATATTTTGGTGGGAAGGGTCCCTGGTTAGACTTGCTGATAGACATTTGAAGAACTCAAAACATTGCCTAATTAGAAGCTACACAAACATTGTTGCAATATCTGTGCAATTGGTATATTTGTATCTTATATTACAGACTGAAAACAACGATGGAGAAAATCCAAGTATCAGAAAATCCCTCTTTCCTCTTTTTAATGCAAAGAATCATTTAAAAAATATCTCTTCCTCAAGAAAACTACCTGTAGTCAATCTTCCCATGGTATTCATTTTTAAATACTGTTTGCTTAACAAACATCTATTATTTCAATGCAGCTAACTGATTGCTAGAGCATGTGTAAAATGGGTATAACATTTCTTTCAAATGGGTTCCATCTTGGGTTTTCCCATGCTTCATGAATAATATGGAATGTGGGAATGCATTGAGGAACGTAAACGGTGATTATTTCTGATTTGTTTTGTTTTGGATTAAGAGAATCTTTCCTTTCTTGCAGCTCATTGAACTAACAGCATGCACGAAAATACCAGCAGGTTCTAGGTTTGGAAAGCAGCAGAAGGTTACAGCTGCATGCAGTCAGGAGATGCTAAATTATATGGTAGCTGGCTATGGTGCTTTTTAGAGGAAAACAGATCTCCAGTGTATATTGCGAGTTGCAATTGCATACAAATCAGCTGTTTGTTTTAAGTTAACCTTCATAAGTGGATCTAGACATAAATGTTGTCAGTTGGTCCATCTAGACAGTATTAACAGTAACTCAATTGGAATTCTTCAAACTTTTGAAAACCATTACACTTCCCATTTGCTTACCAGAATAATGCAGTAAAATTTTATTGTTTTTTGCACACAATTGCATATTTTTATTGCTTGACCATTCTGTTTTAATTTTTTGATGCAATAGTAATATGGGGTTTGTGAGGCAATACTTTTGCAGGAAAGAGTATTTAATATAATTATTAGTCACTGGCAGGAATTGTTGTCAGTTTATAGAAGATTGTGAGTGAGCATATCATGTTAGCTATGTGTACGACAACATTCTTTTGAATGGTTTTATTCACAGTTTAGATTTATTATGGCTAATAGTGTAGCAACACAAATTGTCTCTGAATGGAGAGTAAAAACTGACCCAACCACAAGGTGATTGTTTCAGTTGGATCAAAGCCATCTATTCCAGAATAGAACCTGCATCTATGGTTTATCCTCATGGCCCAGTCAGTAAATGCACCATCTGATTAACATTAAGCAATACAGACCAGAAAGTCACAGGTTTGATTCAGAGTCTGTGTTGATCTCAGCTAAGACAGCATGTTACAAATGACCTTAATATCACTGGGCTAGATGGGAGGAAGTGAATTGGGATGTCAGATGAGATTGGGTTTAGTTTTGGCTATGATGCTCTCCGCAGCTGAATAATCTGACTCTAGTTGTTGAGGCGCACACATGAAGGATGGACACTCAGGTGTGAGGTACCATTAGACAATAGTGACGCATCTAACTATAGGGCCAAGAGAAGGGGAGACAATTGAAGCAGTAGGAAAAGTATACAGTGTAATGGGTTGATATTTCAGTCAACATTCCCTTCCAAACATGGACATACTACTTCAATTTCCACCCTTCCCCCTCTTCCCCGTCCCCAACTACCTCACATTCAAATACACCAAATCAAAATATTAGTGTGACTCTGAGTCAGGAGCCATTTGCAATTAAAGTCAGAATTTAATATTTGCATAAATGTTGCCAGAATTCAAATGAAACTGCAGTTTTACAATTAAGCTTAACAAATTGTAAAATTCCTCCTCTGATAGGCACCATAGAGAATGATGCAGTGTTTGGGGACACCACATAATATTTTAGTTTGACTAATATTGTTCCTTTTTGACTGCCAGCTACATATATCTGCTACATTACGTGGAATTTATCTATTCTTTGCTTCCAAGACTGTCATTCGGCTAAAGATTAAAGACTGCATGACCATGATGGAGTTAAAATCCAACTGTCATATATATTTTATTTGGATTAGCTGACTAATATACATCTTTTCATTTTAGATGCCTAGCGGGGACGGTCAGGATCGCTTGGCGCTACAAAAAGCTATAAATTCCCGTCAGAACAGAGAAAGAGATTGGCCTTCAGACAAGATGGAGGAAGTTCCGTCTCAGGTATCCAAATTGTACCTGATTTTTTGTAGTCATTTTTCTGTAAATTCTGCAGTAACAATACAAAGAGCATAATATAGAAAATGATACTTTCACTTTTGTTCTCATCAATTTCCTAGCCAAATTCCTCTTTTAATTTGCATCACCCTGCTATCTATCTTACTTTAATTGATAGTATGAGTGGGACCGTTCCAGGAAAATTTAAAGGGGCATTAATGCCTTTAATTGTCCTTCTTATTTTTGCTTTCCTGGTTGCCAAATATCTAAGGTCTATTTGAATGCCAATAAAATAGTGGTAAAGGAGGTACCAAATAACATTGGAGTGAAAAGGAAAACAATTGTAACTGCAAGAAGTTAAAGAGAAATAATATTAGGGAAGGGCTTAAGAGCGTAAAGTACTCCCTCTATCTTTTTTGATTGGTATCTGCTTCTGTCTTGAATATTAGTTGGATGAGGGATTGATGATATTAAAATTCAATATTGGTCAGACCTAATTTATAAATTCTCCACTTCCCAATAGGCATGTTAACGTTAGCTGCTCCCCAGGATTCCTCCTTTTGGTAATTGATTTTGATATGAATGTACAGTAGTAGTATTCTTGACAGAGAGAAATGTTCAAGCAATATTCCTGTATGTTCAACTAAAAACGTTAATGATTTAATTGTTAGTGGGAAAATTATTTTGTTCAACAAATTTTCATTTCCGGTCCGCCTTTGCAAAACCAGTAAAAAGCCACTGGAATTTTAAATGTGTCAAACCTCAAATATTATTGAAAGGTGTAGCTTAATCAGTGTAATTTGACACATTCTATAGAAGAATGTAATGTGATTGTTGAGTAAGATTTTTGCTGTAACGTATTCATTGTTTTGAACTTTTTTTAAAATTTTTACACAGAAACACCCCTTGAGATCTCTGCGAAAGTTTCTACAGCTTCCTATTTCATCTAACCACTCTACTCCCTCAGATGTGCGCTTTCAGCCGTTGCCAAACCAGCTAGCCAAATCTTCCTTCGGTGAGGGCCGCATCCATCCTGGACAGACTCATAACAGCAGTTTCAGACAAGATTCTCAAGGAAAACATAGATCAACCTTCCAACTACCAGGTCAAATGGAACCTATCTGGCATGTGCTGCCAAGCGGCAGGACCGGAAATGATGGAACTATGAATTCTGACCCGATGACATCTAAATCCAGTCAGAATGATCATTCTCTACATTTAAACAGAACAGCACGCCTCAGAATGCCAAATCTAAATGATTTAAAAGAAACAGCTCTGTAGTCCTACTTCCACATTTTCATTCTCAAGTATAATAGTTTCTCTGTGCAAAATGGTTTGAACAGTTCAAGACATGCAGAATTGTTTTGAAGTGTCTAAAACATTTGAATTCTAGTACCTAATCGCTGTACAGAAATAACAAATGTCCACATTAGTTTCTAACAAAACTCACAATGCATATTGTGCTGGGATTCTGATCAGTTTAGCAGTTTGTAGTTATAGCAGATGTTTTATTTGTATACAGTATTTGTTAGGAGAGCAATTGGGGGTTGTTCAAAGTACCATGTTTTGATAGAGCACAATGTCGCTATCTACCAGTACACAGTATATTTGCTAGCTGGTGATGCTTTTACATGTTTGGCACACTTTCTTGGTTATATATGTTATATAACGTGCATTATATTTCAGCATATTATGAGAATTTCACGAGAGAATTTTAGTAGTTATTTATGTTTAATGAGTGGGCAGTAAGTTTGTCAAGGTTAATGAAACCATTTTATGTTTTGTATCTAATACAGAATAAGTACAGAGTAATCTCTAAAAATAATATACATGGGATAGCTTGTAGGCCGGGGCTTGCTGGAAGATTGTACAGTCCTACCCACTTATTTCAAACCTGTTTATATTGACATCCTGCTTATGTTGGAAAAAAAAGATTGCAGTCCTGCCCCTTCCCCACATAGGAACACATTAAATTTACTGCGTATGTCGAGGTCGACATAAACTTTGGCAGCTTACGTCACACTGAGCACACTGGAGCTGGATCCTCTAAACAACGAGTCCATTCATGTCAACATCCCACTTATGTCGACAAGTTTCCAGCAGTTCCGCTGATGTCGACATAAGCAGGTCGGACTGTAACACATTCAAAAATTGTGCTGGGATTAGGACCAGTTTAGCAGACTGAAAGAGAACAAAATCAAGGAGTCAGTGTGGTCTGTTAGATTCTTGAAGCACCCACCAACCAAGTGCAGTGTGTTTGGCTATCTACTGTTTGATCATGTTGGATTGTGTTGAACAACCGGATTCTATCGAATTGTGATATGAACCGAAGTATTATGGTTTAAACTATAGGGTTTTTATGGTACTTAACGGGGAATAGCAGATCATGTTTATACTCTTTAGAGAGCACCAGATGACAGGGAGTTTTACAAGGCTGTACCATATTCTAGGGGCTCTTTGACATTACAAGTATAGCCATGAAAGTCTAAACCGTTATCCAGATCCCTAGTGTCTGGCAGCCTGTAAGAGCATTATTTTTTATGCAATTGCAGCTTTTTAAATAAAATTTATGGTTTCTCTGCCCTTCCATTTTTAGTTTTGTAGTTTGTATTTTTAATTAGTGTCCTTATTGATTGGAAGATACAAGGGACATCAGTCCCAATTGTTGATTCTTATCGGTACCTCTGGGTCGTGCCTGGACACTGTCCTGAAGGTCTGCGCTGAGATAGGGGCAAAGGGCTCTCTAGTCATACTCGTCCTTCTTCAAGGACAGCAAGGTCCCAATGTAGGTCCAGCTCGTGACATATAAGACCTATGCTCAAACTCATCTTTTATGGATCCAAGTTCCTGGGGATGCAGCAGAGAGGATTCCTCCGAACCATTTGCAAAGTCTGCGATCAAGCAGTGAGGTGGATTTATGGCCAATGGGGGAAGTGGTTACAATGAGGGAGGGCTCTGGCCTACACTGAGGACCCTAGAGGCGGAGGTGGCTTCACAATGGGCACGGCACGTCTGTTCGCCAAGGTCCCTCACATGAGGATCTGGATTTAGCAGCTGGAGCTGTGGAAGCCTGGTAGGCGGCAGTGGACTTGGACCTCAAGAATATCAAGGTGGCTGGCACATCACACACTGACCTGTAAAGGTCTTCCCAGCTCGCTGAAGGCAGATGCCCACCAGATAGCTGATGAGGAAACACTGAGGTTTCAGGCAACAGTTGCTGGAAGGCATTACCGGGAGTTCGTGAACACACGTTTGTACATCCAGAGCCTGGAGTCCACCTTGATTGGCTTGCAGAAGCAAGCAGCTGCTGCTTAAACTCCGTACCTCCAACTGGCGGAGACATCGCTCAATGGGACATGTGCCCGAACTGCGGACAGGAAGAGTGTAGCAATGCTCTCACACTTGTCATGCTGATCTGTGCTGCTCACCGGGACCCTCGCAGGGTTTCCTAGTAGCCACCATCCACCCAGTGAGGGCTTGTCGAATGTCAAACAATCAACTAGTGACTCTCCTCTCGAGGTGGGTGGTGTCTCCTTGGAGCTGAACTGGCTCCGAGGTAACATGTTTTGGGAATGGAATGCTGGAACTGGGCCAGCCCTCTGTGGCGGTCTCTAGTCCGGTTCCTGAGTCAGACGAGTTTGCAGTATTCCAGGGCACTGCTGATGACAGCACAGCCCAGCCTGGCTCATCAGCAGGACTTGGAAGGGCAGACCAGTCACAGAAGGCAGGGAGTCAATCCCACTCAGGTCCTGTTAACCCTGCACCCCAAAGCCTTAATGGGTAGCAAGCAGCGGGAAAGCTTGCCAGACAGTGCAAGCTATGCTATTTTAACGGATTAGACTCCAGTAGTACCCCAACACACACTCTGGGGTCCTCAAGCTCTTGCCAATCTGCACCTAATAGTTTCCGGAGTTAGGTAAGCAGAATGAGCAGTCCCTCCAGGAAGAGTGTGTGCATTCCCTCCAACAATTTATCTCTGGTATTTCCATGTGTAGGTGGGATGCATGGCATTCTCAGTTTGGTTTGGAAGTGGAATGAGCACTTAAGCATGGTACTGGGTTTCCTCGTGAATCGGACACCCGACCAACCGCCCCCATAAAAAAATCCTTATTGGAGCGGATGAGTTGTAATGCTAAACTTGTTTTTTAAACACAAAGGATGTAGTGGTGTTATATGACAGAAATAATTTTACATCAAAGTAGTACTTTTACTGGGTTTAATTGTCCTGTATATATTATATACTGCTGTTGCCTCAGGTTGTGCAGGTTATTTTTCTGTAGTTCAAACACTCATTTGTTGTATTTGTGATATATGCTCATTCTTTTTTCTTATCTTAATTTGTGCAGTTATCTCATGAAAAAGAACTTAATGGATATATTTTAGGAAAAGAAGTTGAAGAATGAATCTGATGTAATGGGGTCACACATTAGCTCTGTTCCTGTGTGTAATTGTGTGGAACAGTGTTTGGGAACTTGTGCTTGTTCGTTCACAATCCATTACATGTACAAACACAGTAGTAATTGTTGACGGCAGAATTACAAAATACTATTTAGATTTTAGGGCATTTAATTTCTTGTCCAGAGATCCGATTTCACACGACACTGGTGGGGTATAATTTGTGGGTTGTTCTTACGAAGTTGGTGTAAAGAGGGAATTACAGGTGCTCAGATGAAATTAGCAACCAAATGAAAAAGATTACTTCTGTGATTTTTTTTACATAATTAACTGCACCTCTAATTCACTATTTACACAAATACCATGCATTTGCACATTGCACAACCTGCAAACTAAACACCTTTTGTGTTGCTTTGGATTATCAGTGGACTCCGGTCACCTTGTAAATATCACCAAAATGATGACCATCAGTCCATCAACAATACCAATTCTCCTTGGCTGTTAAATTATTGGTTCACTTAAACATAATAGTTGAGCTGCTCAAAGGAAGTTGTCTTGAAAGTGACATTAACGGTTGTGACTGCATTCTAGCATCATTGTCTGTATATTTTGGTTCTCAATTATTTATAAAGGTCACCATCCACCCACTGCCAGAACATGTTAACATTACTCCAGATGCAAATATTTTCCTTGATTTGCCATTTTTAGAAAGTTCAAACAGTTTGATCCACAAGTTTGATCCAGTTTAGTATCAAGGCATTTGTTTCATGTACTTCAAAGTGCTTCACTTTCCATACTTTTCTTAATTTCTTAAATTCTTGTTGGATTTTTAATGTGCAAAAGCTGGGAAATAATCTCATTAAAAGATCAGAAACAGAAAGGTCCAAAGTTTGGCTAAAGGAGTCAGTCAATCTCATTTGTTTGGTCAGTGGCAGAGCAACAATTAACAGTATCAGTGGAGAAGAAAATCAGTTCATTCTTTCAGGACACCAACTGAAAAGTGTTTGTGGATGTCTGGTAAGGACAGAATTGGGTTGAGCCAAGATATAACAACAACAATAATTGCATTTGACATAGCGCCTCATTACATCTTTCAGACGTCTCAGAGCGCTTCACAGAATATACTGTAAAGTAAATTGACTTTATATTTTGTGGGTTACGTTGCCCCTCATGGTTCATTAATCTGTGGCATTCACAGTCCAGAAATACACCTAATAAGTGGTAAATGGTGAGTTGCCAGATGGTTATTGACACCCGTGGAATGAGATAACAGAATTAATCAGGGGAACAAATGGGAAGGGGGCATAGAAGTCAGGCGGTGCTTGTCTAACACTGGAACAATGGATTTTTTGCTGGGATTTTGAACAGTTTTTAACTGGGATTTCACCTAATCTTGTATATACATGCCCATGCATACGTATGTGTTTATGCTTAGATTTTCTATAGAGGCCATGGTTTGGAGAGTCTGTTGATAATCCATTCTACATTTCAGAAATCTCAGCAGGGCCATCAAGGATTACAGTCATTGAGATAATTTAGGTGGATTTTGCAATACTTCCAACTGGGAGCAATATTATAGTTACATTGGTATATTTGTGTGTGTGTGTGTGTGTGTTTTGGGGGGGAGCAGAGGATGAAAGAAGAGAAAAAGAAAGACTATTTTTTGTTTGAGGATATTGTAAGACGTAAAGTGCCATTGTAGTATTTTGTAATTTTCACCAGACTTAAATTATTTCCTGCTCATGATTTGGGTTTCTTTTGGATACAGCCATTCTAATAACTATGAGTGTTTATAACACAAGAATGTAAATATTCAGTACTTTATCCCCTGATTCATTGTAGAAAAATGTAAGCACCAAATTTAAGACTGTTAAATGATATTTTAAGCAAAGTTCCAAGTGACTTCCTCTCATCAAAGACTAGATTTAAAATATCAGGTTGCACACCTTTATTATTTGTATGAAGCATTTTAGCAGATTTAGAATGCCTGAATACTTAGCATAATGTATTTTAATGGCATAACATCTACAAGATATTGTCTTCAAATGTAGTTTCCCCAATTAAAACAAAGTTCACTGGGAGGGAGGGGGGAATCAATTTCTCCACAAAACCCTGTGCTCTTTTGATTTTTAATTAACTGTTTAATTTCATTCTGCTTGTACTGTATTTGAGTTTCTACAACATCCTCTCGGAACATCTTTTGTAAGGAGAGTTATTTATGTTTGCATTACTCATTCTTGGAGATGAAACTGAATGCTTTCCAATGTAAATCATGCTCAGGTAGTGATGTATCATGGTATATATTTATGTTCCTACCTACAGTTTCCCAAATGACTCACTTCCCAGGTTATTACTATTTAAGCTAATAGGATCTCGCTTAGATTTTCTTGTATTGTTCACAAGATTATTAGTTACATGTTTAGTATGACGGATGCACATTTTCTGTTAAGCACTGGGCAATACTCTTGGCATGGTGAATTCAGAGATACATAATATTTATTACACAGAAACATGCTCCTGGAATGTTCAGTAAACAGATATTAATTGGCATGGAAGTTTTTAAACTAGGGCTAATGGGAAATTTGTATTCCTTATTGACAAACATTCAGCCAATTTCCATCTTAAAGCAAGCTTACTCTACAAGCATTACTAAAAGGTAGAACTTCTGCTTTATTATCTGTTTTTCTTATAACATTGCACACAAGCCTCAGATAGTCAGTTTCAGTATTGGTATGCATATGAGTTATGGCCTTCATTGTCTCCAATGCTGTCTTTTGTATGTTTTATAAATACTATATATATATATATATTCCTAAAATGTAAAACTGAGATCCACTTTGAAACTAGAAATCAGTTGCTCTTATATTCTGCAGAATTTTAAGTTAATAGTTTTACAGTGGCGGTTACCTTTTAGTGACAAATATATTTTACATTTACACACCTCACATACATCATATATGAATAAGTAGTGTTCAGAGCTCCTTGAAACCTATTACTGATGAAACACAAAATGCTGTAACACAAAGTAAATGATATGCAGAGATTTTTACTCTTCAAAATCAACAACTTTTATACATTGATATAATGCAGTTATAATCCCAGGGTTTGGATAGTTCAGCAGAATATAAACCAGCAGCTGTGATTTGCGTTCCAATATATGTCTGAAGAGTTGTGTTACATGCATGCAGATATATGTATCACACATGTTTGTATGTGTGTAAAACAGGTGTAATATCTATTAAATCTTAATACTAAATATGTATAGGAGTTAGAAATAGCTATTGGGAGCTTATAGTATGGATGGGGCAGGAAACCAATAAATGTACTTTGCTATTTACTATTATACTTCTGTTGTTAGAAAGTGACAGATAATACCCCAGGTGTACAAAAAGATGAAAGCAAACGTTCCATCGAGGACAGGTATATGTATTTCTCAGTACGTTAAATGCCTATAGTCACAATTTATATTTTAGTTCAGCCAGTTATATTTTACAAAAAAAAAGTGTATTCATGTTTTAAGGACTGAGATCACATGAAGCCTTGGTTCTCTTGGTCTTCTCACTACAGGTGTGTGTGTTTATCGCATTGTTGAGTTTAGGTTTTGTTTCCCTAAAACACAATGAACATTTATTTTTCCTTTTAAATGATACAATGAATTGATACAAGTTCTAAAATTTGTGAAGTGTTTCTAAAACATATGTTTGTATATTCAACCTTCATGGCACGTTTTCCATCGGCTTTTGTACAGTTATGTTGTAAATATTGAACATGATGTTTATTGAGTGGTCACTCTGAATATTGGCATGAAATTGTTTAATTTTTACTAAGCACAATGTATTTTTGAATGGATCTTGTAAAACACGTCTTTATAAAATGCAAATTTTGCACTAAAATGTGAGTGATCTTAATTTTTTTTAATGCTTATCCATTGACCAGAAACGATTAAACATTACTCGTTGAAGGATAACATTGTTTAGCTCTTTCTGAGATTCTTGATTGGTTTATTAAAGGGTAAACCAGAGTTGTCCTTTGAATTAAGTCATGCAATCTAATTGATTGGTTGAACTTAGACTGAAAGTAGTGTTTTACTGTCATGTAGAATCTTGAGTTAAAACTTTTTATATGGAGTTGCAACCATGTTCCAGCCTACATCTGGAAATTGACTATATAAATTTGGTTAGCTTTTTCACCCCATTGGCAAGCAGCCAGCTATCTATAGGAGATCAGGGGGGAGTAGTGCATTGAATGCAAGTAAGCTTGTATTATTACTAATATTAAGCTCCCATTAAGATCGCTGGCTCTAATCCAAGAATTGAAAGACATTTGTGAATGTTTCTTAACGTATTCCTTGTAGTTATGTTGTAAATATTAAAACCTGTGTATTGAGTAGTCACTTTGAATATTGGCTGAATATCAAGGAAAGGGTTGAAAAACCATCATAAATTTTACCCCACCGGTTCATGGAGTTTGGCTGGTCTCTGTATGGCATCCCTCTATATGGTTGTCCGTCTGTAATTATGTGAATGAGACCACAACACCATTTAAAAATATATATATATTGTAACTTATTAAAATATTATTTATTATGAAATAATTTATTTGAATTAAATCGTAAACCCCCAGGTCACATAAAATCCTTCACTGCCAAGGACTTTGGGACGTCCTTCTGACGTGAAAGGCATCTCTTGGAGAGATGAGAAATGGATTGTGTGGAGAAATGACTTTTAACACCTTTTGCTGTGGCACAAGTGAATGCATTACCGGGGTAACTATAAATTGCATTTGTATAACGCCTTTCACGTCAGAATATCACTATAATGTAGCTCTTAAATTGTTCAGGACAAATCTTTATACTGCAAAATGTGTAAAGGTGCTATTAGATTAATTTACAATATACTTACAGCAAAATTACGTTTCAAAATGTCAAGTATCCTTTATGTATAAAAATAGATATCATACAAATATTATAAACAAAAACCCTTTGAAGATTTTTTGATGGTGCAATGTATATTGAGGTATGTTAATCCGGGTATCCCCTGGTGTTGCAGATTCTCTTATTTAAAATGGTGGCTATTGCAAGTTTATATTTCTGGTACATTTTAAAGCTGAAGTAAACCTTAACTGCAACTTAAACAACCTAAATGACTTAAAAACTAGAATATTCTTTGCTTCTTCAAACCCATTCTGACTACCCAAATTGCCTATTTAAAATCATGCAATTGAATATAATGTGAAAGATATTGTACAAAATATCAAATTATATTGAAATGATTGTTGTACCAAAAGGACATCTAAGAGCACAGAGCTTTTGTCAATGGTCACCTAACAGCAAATATTATTCCTGTCTAAACGTAGGATTGACTTGTGTATTTTGTGGGGGCAAGTAAACCATGTTCTGGTTTACCCTGTGAAGCGTTAAGGCGCAATATCAAATGTAAGGATTATTATTTATAACACTAGATGGCATCCATCTCAGTGCTACACAGCAACAGTTACAGGCCAAGAAGTATAACACCAATGTGAAGTCAAGGAGAAACAATTAGATCTGTTCCAGTCTTTTCAATGTGCAATATTTTTTATAAGTGATTAGAAAAGAAACCATTGACCTTATTGAAATAATGAGCAGTAGTTCAATCATTGTTGAGGAGTCTTTAAAATATCTTACATGGATCGGAGAAGTTGATCAGAATCACAACGCCAGTCACCAAGACTGTTGCATTTTTCACAACTGACAATTATGAAAGACTAATTGTTAGCAAATGGATGTGATTTTTTTCATACATCAAGGTGGGGATGTGAGAACTAAGGAAGGTACCCAGTTAACAACACTGAACAAACTCGGGTCAGGTATTCCATTGTCATCTGCAAAGTCTTAGAGTTCCTTTACTGTGTCCCAATAATGTGCCTTAGCCCCAACATCAATAACAGCCTCCTTCACCAGCATGATATTAGTTTCTCTGCACTCACCACCCTTATGGCTTTTTTCACATCCCCACCTTGATGTATGAGAAAAATCACATCCCTCCCTTCCCTCCCCTCACCCTGACTATTTCCCCCCTGCTCGGGTCCCGACCCAACTGTCCAGCGCCTTGGGACGTCCTCCCGACGTGAAAGGCGCTCTATTAATGCAATCTTGTTGTTTCTGGGAAATTTCTCATTTACGTTGATCAGTGTAAGTTTTGCGCTGACATGGAGCTGGGATTGGCTTTCATTCTTACATAGAACCTTAGCTTACATCCAGCATAGGTGACAAGAATATCTAATTCGCAATTTTTTTAAAGGGATTCCTCAATATGTAATTGTGAGGTGTGCAAATGGTGACTCCTGGTCACCAGAAGAACATCAGGTTATCTCCTGATCTCCTTTAGAGGCAGAGCCAAATTCCACATGTCAACCAGAATTAAGAAATCCTGCAGTTTAGACCCCTTCACCTCTTTGTGTGGCTACATTCAAATTGGACGTCAGAGGTGCAAAGAAAACGTGCTAACCCAGTGTATCACCCAGTCCTTGTAGTCTTTGTTAATTATTCCATGACGCTGTGAGCTGCTTGAGTTTAAAGTGATAAGGGACTGTGTTAAACTATGCCCCTGAATTTGAAAATGACAAACCTTGCAGATGCTAGTGTGATGACTCATTTTGTTATATCATTATTAAAATGTTTTATTTTCTTTAAATCCATAAATTCTAGGCTGTAATTTTTATTTTAAAACTAGACGTACTGCTCCTTTACTTAGTACAGTAAAAACAAAGAAACATCAATGCCGTAAACGAACATCACTTACATCAACCTCTGAAAGAGAAAAATCGGATCACGCTTTTGGGTGTGATTTTTCATTGGAACCCAAAAATCTTGACCTGTCTTTCCCTTTCAGATGCTGTTTGACCTGCTGTCCATTCTCCCTCTAACTCCTGTCCCCTTAGCATGCTTATGACTTGCATTTGTTCATGCATTCAAGTAGCTCAATCCTCATTGCAATACGGACATGCCAGCCCAAGGGGATCATCCTGATGTATTGAGCTATAATCGGAGGGCGCAGAAAGTTTTGCACAGAGGATGATCTGTCTGAATTCCCGTAAAACACCTGTGGGAGGAAAGAAAACCATTCTGATAAACTGTAAGAAAGAAACTATTGCATTCTATATTTTGTTTTTCAGCTATAAATCTATTTTAAAATGAAGGGAATAAGCTATTTTTGACACAATGTAAAATGTATCATCAGAACAACAACAACAAAATTACATTTGTAAAAGGCCTTTCATGTTGGGAGGACATCACAAGGCGCTGGACAGACAGAGTTATGGACCCGAGCTGGGGGTCAGGGTCGGGGAGGGTGGAGGGCAGGAGGGGAAGCAGGGAGATCGAAAGCACGGTCGAAGAGGAGGGTCTTGAGATGGGTCTTGAAGGTGGTAAGGGAGGTGGCGAGGCAGAGGGACTGCGGGATGGAGTTCCAGAGGGTGGGGGCAGAATGGCAGAAGGCCTGCCCGCCAATAGTGGGGCGAGCAAGGCAGGGGACGTGAAGCAGCCCGTTGAGCTGAGAGAGCAAGCAGGATGGTAGGGAGTTAGGAGGTCGCAGAGGTAGGGGAGAGCAAGGCCATGGAGGGCTTTGAAGGTGAGGACCAGGATCTTGAACTGTATCCTCTTGTGATGGGAAACCAGTGGAATTTGGGCAATGATGGGTTGATAGGGCAGCGGAGCTTGCTGTGGGAAAGGATACAGGCTGCAGAGTTCTGGATGATCTGCAGCCTGTGGAGGGAGGAGGTGGGGAGGCCGACAAGCAGTGAGTTTGCATAATCGAGCCTCGATGTAATGAAGGCGTGTACGAGGGTTTTGGCGGCCTGCGAAGTGAGACTGGCGAAGCCGAGTGACGTTGCGGAGATGGGGGAAGGCAGAGCGGGTCATGGCGCAGATGTAGGGTAGAAAGGATAGTTGAAGGTCAAACAAGACCCCAAGGTTCCGACTGGCTTAGCAAGGTGAAGTGTGCAACCATGGATGGTGATTCTGTCGGCACCTGAGGTGAGGAGGTGCTGATGGGAGCCAAATCAAGAGGACCTCAGTCTTGTTAATGTTCAAATGAAGAAAGTTAGCTCTCATCCAAGACTTGATGTCCGACCAAACATTCTACTATGATATATAGACAGATACGTGCCCCTCCACAAGGCAACTGACCCAAGGTTAAATGTACATTATTAATTTTTGGGTGTCCAGTAAACTGTGTGAAGCACTTCGAGACACCCCCCCCCTCCACCGCCACACACCCCCCTCCCATGAGAAGTGCTATATATATTTAAATTCCATTGAATTGTCCCCATACGTGTTCACAGTTTATGCTCCAGAGGTGATGTGCATCACTTCTAGCAGTAGAACATTTTAGGAGCAGGAAACCTGAGCTCTGAGATTTCTCATGGTCTTAACTAGAAGACAATAGTTTTAAAATTTAATAGTGTGTGGTTTTGCAAAATGTTAGCTCTAATTCCCCCTGAATTTAAAAACAAACATTTGTAAATTTTGCAAAATTCTTTCATTAATTTATGCTTATTTGGAAGCGTGTTTTTCGCAATTCTTATAATCGGGCTAATAGAAAAGTGCGGCTGCAATTTTTCTGCAGAATTCACTATAAACAGTGCCCTCTGCTATAAAACCGCTAAAAATGACGTTTCTGGCCCTAGACACAGTGCGTCTCTCTCTCTGTGTATCTCTCTCTGGGTGTCTGTGTGTGTCTCTTTCTAGGTCACTGTGTCTGTATATGGTGCTGTGCCCTGAGAGGCAGAAAGTGGTGAAGTCCTGTAGCCTTGAGTCAGTGACACTGGTCCTGAGTGTTTGTGGTTTTGATGGATCTCCAGGCCCTTTGGGCCTGCACTGGTATTCCACCCTCCCCACCCCTCAATGGGCCTCCCAGTTTTCGTTAAAGAAGAAATTAATAAAAATGTTTTGCAATAATCTAATATGTGTTATTTCCTCATGTTTAGTTTTTATCAATAAAATGAAAAAATGTAGGTTGGCAGTAAAACGGACACCGGGAGAAAATCCCTTCTCTTTTAAATAGTGTCATGGAGTCTTTAACATCCATCCGAGGATTCCTCAACCAAAGGATGTCATCGCCAGCCGTGGCAGGGGTTTAAGTCTCAAATATGGGCTTAAACCCACAATCTTCTGACCCAGAGATAAGAGTTCCACCAACTGAGTGAAGTTGACTGTTACTGAATGTAGTGATGTTTTTATTGCGTCTTTATAATAGAATTTCTCATGAGCTTATGACAAAGGGATTGCTATTTTAGAAGGCCCACTTTCCATTCACTACAGCTCGTGACTATTGGACAGAAGCCAATACTTACTCGATTGTTTCCTGTCTGATCTTTATAGTAAACCCATTTAAGGTTTTCATAGGATCGGTACTGCAGACTGTACTTTGTCATCCATTCGTCCGCATCGCAACGTCCCTGAGTTATGACGCCAGAAATAACTTTGATCTGCTTCAGGTCAATCTGTAGCCATTGGTTGCTGTCTTGAAATCGGGCAAGCCATGCACAGCTGCAATTAGATTGGTTTATATGAAATGGTTGTAGTGAAAAGACATCACATTTAGAGAAGAAATGTTCAGAGATTTCATAAAGGAATGGAAAGCTCTATGGTGGTCTTGGTAGTCTGGTTCCTGAGCCAAGTGGGTCAACAGTCACGGTGCTCCAAGTCACTGCTGATGGTAGAGCAGCCAAGCTTAATAGTGGGATGTGGAGAGGCAGGCAATCAATGGAGGTAGAGATTTTTCTCATTCAGCTTCTGGTAAGTTTCAAAAGGGAAAGAGATAAATATCCATAAAGGAGTAAACTTCAGAGGTATGAACAGGTAAACCTGACTGAAAGGATTGCTCTTAAATGAGCCAGCACAGTCATGATGGGCTGAATGGCCTTTTTTGCTGTAAATTTGTATGGTTAACACTGCAAGCCCAAACCCTAACAAGTAGGGTGGATCAGCAATGGGAAGCTTGCAGCAATTGCTCTCAACAGCAACCAAGTGGTTTTAACTGGTTAAACTCAAGCACACTCTTGGGTTTCCAGGTCTTGGCCTCCACCTAATATGTTCTAGAAGTAGGTAAGTAGGGTACATCCCACCAACACAATTGCCTGATTTAAACTCACTAAATGCTGTGCTTATACTGTATGTTTGGTGGTCAATCAGCACAATTTTGGTAACCTGCTATCAAATGTGCAGTAGAAGACTTTTCATTCACACAGCTCCCAACAGTATCAACATGTCATAGGATTTTACTGTTTTTCTGTGTTCAAAGTTCAGTCAAATCAATATTTTTTAAAATCCTCTTTCATAATTACTTTTTCCCTTTCTTTAGGTTCTCCTGCACACCCAATTATTGGTATGAGGGATGGGCAAGTGAATTGCTCTCAGGATTCTGCCCAGTTTGACCCCCAACTATCCTTCAAACCTGTCTCTTCAACTATGCTTTAGGTCTTTCCCCTCCCTCAGCAACACCCCTACCAGCTCAGGCTTCTAGTAAGTTGCATGAAGTGGTTTGAGATGTTCTCTTGCTCTATAAGTGTAACTTGCTCTTGTTGCTAGTGGAGTTATATTGAAAATTTGGTCACTCAATTCACCAATGTTTGTGGAACATTGCTATGCAAAATTAGCTGCTGCATTTCGCCCACAAAATACACAGTCAATTCACTTGATAATATATTCTGTGAAGCGCTTTGAGACATTGCAACAATGTGATAAGACGCAAGGATCAAATGCAAGGATAATTATTATTAAATATCAGATGTATAGGAGGCTATGGCAGCAGCTCAGGGAGCTGTTGCCCACTAATTTTCTTTCCTTTGCTGCAAAATAAATCCTGCTTAAGCTGTACAGGATTGTGGTCAGGCCACAGCTTGTGTATAATGTACCCATCTGGTCTTCATCACATAAAAGCTCAAGTTCTTGGAGCCAGTACAGTGGAGAATTAATAAGAATGATCCAATAGTGTTATCAGGATGAGTGAGGATAAATGATCAGCTAAGTTAAGGTTATTAGGACAGACACTGAAATATTTCTTTACACAGAAGATATTTAACATTTAGATTGGTTGATCAGGGAAGGGTAGAAGACACTGGATTTATTTAAGGAAGACTTCATGCTACAGTGGGAAGGTAATAGAGCTGGATTCTGGAAGTTGAAGAATTTCCTCATCTGAAGCTCAGTTATCTCAATATTAGGAACTTACTTGTTGGGTGAATCTCACTCATATCTGTGACTTATTACTTCAATAACCAACTCCAGAAAAGTAGAGGAATCCTGGCCAATTACAATATGATTTACATTTATATTCCGCCATTCAATTTGAGAGGATGGTCCAAATCTTATTCACAGTACTGGATGGAGCCCAAAATGGCGGTGGGGGCCGAGCGGGGTAGGGTAGGGGCGTGAAAGATGACAAAACATAGTCAAAGAGGTACGATTTGAGTTGTGCCTTGAGAAGAGGGAGGTAGCAAGTGAGTCAGAGGGTCTCTGGGATTGTGTTCAAGAGAGTGGGGTAAAATGTCTGAAGTCCTGTCCACTGATGGTGGGGTGGATAGTCCGGGGACATGAAGCACTCCTGCGCTCACTGAGCAAAGAGAGCAGGCGGCTCAGTAGGACTGATTATTGCATTGTAATATTGTGATATATATACAATGCTAGACTTACCCAAACCCCTGGTTGTATATTCTTGCTTTGTCTGGCATCCAAGAGGCATACCAACCTGTGTACTGATCTTGATTTGAACAGGTTATCTGGTCTGGTGCAATAGCTCCAGATTCAAACCCCAGAGCTCTGTGATAAGGGCACTCTGCAAAATCAAAACCAATCAAGTTAATTTCATATGCAGGTGCCTAAGCTCCATTCAGTACTGATATAAAATTGTAATGAGATACTTCACTTGCAACAAAGCAAAACACCTCAGTTCTGGGGTTAACTACATCTTCAAAGATTTTTCTGTACAATGCAACTTAATGTGTGCTCACATCTAATCATTAAAGGGGGAATATTAAATTGGGGAAATAAAACAAGAGATAATGGAATTTCACAACAGGCCAAACAGCATCTGAAGGAGAAGAACTGGTTAAAATTAGAATAAAATTATTAAGGGATATGGCAGGTGGGATTCGGGACTGTTGTACACATAAACCATGGAATGGTCTATTGTGGATCTGGCTCGATGCGCCAAATGGCCTTCTCCTGTTCCTAATTTCTTATGTTCCTCTATAATGTTTTGGGTGTAACCCCTCATCAGAACTCGGGGGTATGTGGCAACTAATTTATGCACAGCAATGTCCCACAAAAGGTTGTGGGTTCAAGCCCTACGTTGGGACTTTGAACTCACAGTTCAGGCTCCAATATAATGCTAGAGGTGCTTTGCATTGTTGGAGATACCAACAATGCAATTACATGTCTGCAATATGCAGACGTATAATAATCGATATGCAATGATACGCAATTATATGTCTCATTTAGATGAGATGTATAAAAGAGATGTATAAAAATATTAATGGGATTGAAAAAGTAAACTCAAAACAGCGCTTTAGGAAGCACCAAAATAGTAGAAGAAGACAACACAGATTTAGAGTTGCGAAGGGAAATCTCAGGACAGATACCAGGATGTTTTTCTTTACCCAGAGGGTAATTAATAACAGGAACAGGTTGCCAAAAATGTTGGTTGAGACCAGGACATTGGATACATTTTAAAAAAACAGCTTGATACTGTGTTGGGAGGATGGTGGGTAGGTATTCTGGAAGTTGCTGAAGGACCTTATTCAATTGAACCAATCTTGTGATTTAGTGTAACTGAAGATTGGGGGGGGGAAATAAGCAATAGAATTGCATATTGGTATATAGGAACAAGCATTGGAAGAACATCATTCAGAATGGTGGGAATTTTTTTGGGACAGTCCTGGCTGCAAATTGGTTGCTGCCTTCAAATACATAGTCACTATATTTTATAGAAAACCTCGTTAACTGCTTTTTGACACGATAAGGTGCTACAAGGATTATTTAAACTCGCTATGTTTTGCTATATACATGAAGTGAATTCATTGATGTGGGATAAGCACTGTTCTGCTCCATTGGGTAAAGTTAGTGAATTTTCCCCATTTTTCTATAAATTAACTAGTGCAATTTTACAGTAAATGTACAATTCTAATTTATATTTATAACGTGTCCAACCTTGTGAATGCAAGCATCTACTGATATCAGACTTGGACTTCTGATGGTCAACCTGATTACAATTGAGCTGAAGTGTTGGATTGGTCTCTGACACTTATTAATTGTGACTGATATCCTTTCCATCCTTAGGCATGATGTGAAAGACAATTTATTTCACCTTCAATTAAGCTGTTGATAATCTGAACATGACACTGAGCTAAGAGCATTAGCTGGTGACCTTGGGTGCTTCTCTTAACATGATTGCAATCCTAATGACCAACATGAAATGACATATGCTCGTACAGGAAGATGTGGTCACTTTCAAGCTACTGTTTTGGCACCAGCCAACTGGATAAATACACTCATAAAAATGGGGTAATTTCATAAAAAACAACTTAATTGAAACTGGATTTTTTTCACTCCAAATTTCTCAGTGGAAGGTTCTAACTCATGAGAATACCAGTTTAACTCCCACCCCCAACCCAGAACCTTGCTCAAATAGTTATTCTTCATATGTAAGTCTAGGCAGGTTGGAATGGATAAGAATTCCAACTGAATCCAATCTTGTCCTCAATTGATGTCCATACTCACACTTTCCATAAGAGCTCACCAGACAGCATTTAGGAGAAGGAATTGTGTTTGATTTTTCGCCCATTCGAGGCTAGGGATGCTGAGGCCAGTTGTGCTGTGCTGCTACTGCGCTGACTGAGATCAACTAACTCAGCACAGTCTAAGGTTTGAGCCTCGGACATTTTAATCCAATGGGCACAATTTCACACTGGATAGTGGCTTTACCAACTGAGTCATTCAGAAGCTTGTAAAGCAGGAAATTATTTATAAGCTTTTATATAGGCGTCTTTACTTCCCTTCATCCTGAGAATCTATTCTATCAGGTTGCTGGTGTGACAAGCAAATGCTTAGCCAAGCTTAGAGGCTGATGTTCGGGAATACACCCTCCAGAGGAGCATTGCACTTACCTGGCATACAGTCTAGTGTTGTCATTCCAGGCCCTTTTCCCCAAACAGAGTTGGATGTTTCTTGGCAATTGCATTTGCAAACCTTGTTGTGCCATTGATCCAACCTATCCTCCTAAGACAAAAGATTGAGATAGAAAGATTGTCTTGCATTGTTGTTATTATTGTTATTATTATTATTACAATCACACAATTGGCTCAGTGAAAGGTTGGAATCACTGTTGGATGATTCCGTTCAACAGTGTATGAGTACTTTGCTTTGTAGCTGGTGAAATTTGTGACAGTCTAATATAAAGCATGTTAGATGAAGTTATAACCAAATGAAAATAAGTGTCATTTCAGAAGACAAGAGAAGTGAAAAAATTCAGTTCATCAGCTCCTGTTCCTAATATAGTAAACAGAATATCATATGGGAAAGTGCTTTACACAGATCCTGATTTTTATATTCTCCTTTGCTTCACGAATTCCCGGACCGTCTCGTGCGGCATTCCTCAGGGCTCTGTCCTTGGTCCCCTCCTCTTCAACATCTATATGCTCCCTCTTGGTGACATCATCCGCAGACAGGAGGTCAACTTCCACATGTATACGGATGACACTCAACTCTACCTCTCTGCTTCCACCCTTGACTCCAGGACCATTGCTGTCCTGACAGAATGTCTGTCGGACATCAAGTCCTGGATGAGAGCTAACTTTCTTCAGTTGAACATCAACAAGACCGAAGCTCTCTTGTTTGGCTCCCGTCAACGTCTCCTCACCTCTAGCGTTGACAGCATCACCATTCATGGTTGCACACTCCACCTCACTGAGCCAGTCCGGAGCCTTGGGGTCTTGTTTGACCCTCAACTGTGCTTTCTACCCCACATCTGCGCCATGACCCGCTCTGCCTTCCCCCACCTCCGCAACGTCATTGGGCTCCAACTTTGTCTTACACTGCAGACCTCCGAAACCCTCATACATGCCTTCATTACATTGAGACTCGACTATGCAAACTCACTGCTTGTCGGCCTCCCCAATTCCTCCTTCCACAGGCTGCAGATCATCCAGAATTCTGCAGCCCGTGTCCTCTCCCGCACTAGCCTCTGCAATCCTATCACCCTCATCTTTGCCCAACTCCACTGGCTTCCCATCACACAGAGGATACAGTTCAAGGACCTGGTCCTCATCTTCAAAGCCCTCCATGGTCTTACTCCCCACTACCTCTCCGACCTTCTAATCCCCTACCACCCTGTTCGCTCCCTCCACTCAGCGGGCTCCGGCCTGCTTCACGTCCCCTGCCTTGCTCGCCCCACTACTGGTGGGCAGGCCTTCCACCCTCTGGAACTCCATCCTGCAGTCCCTTTGTCGTGCCCCCTCCCTCGGCACAACAATAACAAAATTACATTTATAGAGCGCCTTTCACTTCGGAAGGATGTCCAAGGTGCTGGACAGTCACGGGTCAGGACCCAAGCATGGGGAGGGGTGGTGTAGGGGTGAGGGAAGGCGAGAGGTGGGAGGCCGACCGAAGGCACGATAGAAGAGGAGGGTCTTGAGACCGGCCTTGAAGGAGGCAAGGGAGGAAACGAGGTGAAGGGATTGTGGGATGGGGTTCCAGAGTGTGGGGGCAAAGAGGTTGAAAGCCTGGCCACCGATGGTAGGACAGGTCGGGCGGGAGACGTGGAGCAGGCCGGAGCCCAGGGAACGGAGGTAGCGGGCGGGTAGGTAGGGTATCAGCAGGTCAGAGAGGAGAGAGATAGGAGGGGACAAGGCCCGGGTGGCCTTAAAAGTGAGGATGAGGATCTTGAATTCGATCCTCGAGGGATTGGGGAGCCAGTGGAGTCGGGCGAGGGTGGGAGTGATGGGGTCACGGATCCGGGTGTGTGAGAGTACACGAGCTGCGGAGTTTTAGATGATCTGCAGCTTGTGAAGGGAAGAGTTGGGAAGGACGATCAGGAGGGAGTTTTCATAATTGAGCATTGATGTGATGAATGCGTGGGTGAGGGTTTCGGCAGCCTGAGGGGTGAGGCAGTGGCGAAGTTTGGCAATGTTACGGAGGTGGTGGTAGGCAGTGCCGGTCACGGTGCGGATGTGGGGGAGAAAGGACAGTTCAGGATCAAACAAGATACCCAGGTTCCTGACTGGCTTAGTGAGGTTGAGTGTGCAGCCTCTTTCAGGACCCACCTCAAGACCCTCCTCTTCGACCGTGCTTTCAATCTCCCTGCTTCCCCACCTGCCCTTCTCTCTCCCCCACCCCGACCCCAGCTTGGGTCCATAACTCTGTCTGTCCAGCGCCTTGGGATGTCCTCCCGATGTGAAAGGCGCTATACAAATGTAATTGTGTTGTTGTTGAATTCTATTGAACTAGGTATTTCCATGTTAGTACTAGGAAAATATAATTACAGGATAAGAAAGTAGTAATCGATGCTAACAACTGCAAATAACTTCAATCGGGTACTCATCTGGTTGAATGGTTACTACTCTCAATTGATCAAAAGAAGTTTTATTTTTAATACAACAAAATTACAGTAAACTTCAGATAACTTGACCCTGTCTTAACCTCTCTTATCACTACCACGTAAGTCATAATTGCTGTCAATATCCTGGCCTTGTTATTTATTTTTTGTACATATGCTTAACTCGCCACTCTGGCTAACTCGTCACTGAATCCCTTTCCCTTGGAGTGATGAGTTATCAGAAGTTTACTGCATTGTTATTTTTCCTTTCTATTCTCTCCACTTTGTCCCCATCATAATTCATCCATCCTAGGCTGGGGGAGTGAGAAAGTTCACCCCATATATGCTCTTCTAGATGCAAGCTCTAAAAATAAAACACTTGATCAGCCACCAGCATACAGACCAGAGCACCACCAAATGTTCCCAGATTTTGTAATAATAATCATAATAATGAATCCTTCCATTTGATGTAGAAACTTTCACAGTGGGAGGACACCTCAAAGCACTTCAAGGAATTGTACTATTATGTGTTGTCATTGTGTATTTGTAGGCAAATTATTGACACTAGATTTATGTGTCAATATCAGGCACATATCTATTCAAATGACTAATCTGCTAAAAATGATAGCTTCAAACAAGTTCTAAGATTTTTCTCCTATTGTTGAAACTTTTGTGTAACACCAAGGACTAAAACTCAGCAGCTGCAACTTGGCTTAGTTAAATATGAAATCCTGTCAGTAACCAAATGTATATCACGCTGATCTGTGAGAACTCCACTCCCACACAACTCCAAGGAGATTCCATTGGAGCAGAGTTGGTGTGATTCACATCTAGTTATGAGCACAATTCAATATTTACAAGCCCTTGGTGAATCCAAGCTGTGGTCCAAATGTACATGCTTATACTGTATCAGTGGTTCTTGTCACACACTGTTTGCAGCTCACCTCCCCTTCAGCTGTGACCAGTGGTACACCTGTTGCTTCAAGTGCTTCTGGCCCTTCATCCGTGGCCTGTTCGGCTGCAGGATGTTGCCAGAGCTGGGCTTCAGCACTGTCCTTTCTCTGTTGTCCAGTGAAAGAAAACAAGGGAATGCTATTAAGTGGCAGGTTTATCCCAGCATTCAACGAGCAAGGTGCCAGCCTGGCTCAGTTGGTAGAACTCCTGCCTTGGGGTCAGAAGGTACAAGACTTTGAGCCCATTGTGCAGACTGAGACTCCAGTGGAATTTGGCTTTTTGGCTTTGCTGAGCTTTGGATGAGATGTTTGTTGGGATGTGAAAGATGACACTAATTGAGAAGGGAGTTCCTCCCAAAACTCCTCCAGATAAAATTGGTCATTCACTTCATGACTGTGTAACATTGCTGAGTGAACATTGTTTGTTTGTATTTGCCCACAAATATGATAGCAATTACTTGTGAAATGCTTCAATGCTAAATCAAATGCAGGTATTAAAAAGTGAAAGTGTTCTATAAAATGTATGAGACCACTACCAAAATTAGTGCAAACACTATTGGTCCTGTAGCTTTTCTGATTATCCTGTATGAAACTGCCTGGGTTGTACATGACCGCTACCCATGGTGGAATAGCTGAAAAGAAAAACCCTCCATTGCCAAGAAGAAAGTATCATCATTCAGTAATGCAGATCCTGCAAGAATTCCTGAGTGCAGTTTAAGAACTTAGAATTGTAAATCTGGAGAAAACATTTGCAACACTAGAATCCACTTTCACTATTTTAAAACATGGTCATTGAACCCATGCATTAAATAATCTTGCTATACGGTGATAATTCTGTCAGGAGTGACAAGTAGTAGTCAACCAAAACTTTATAAAAAGTGATCCTTTTACAAAGCTTAACATCCACATGAATGAAGCCAAGATAGAGATTCTACACAGATTGCACTAGATTTCTGTAATATTTAATAGTATCAGTAATAGTACACTGAGTCCATACCTCAGCTGCAGTCAAAGATGCAAAAGCTTGTCCAGATGATATGCAAGGGAATTTGAAAAAGACAGAAAGAACAGATTGAAGGTTATTTTCTCAATCATCGCAAACATAATCTGTCTTTTTTATAGACATATTAAAAACTGTATCTAATAACTAGTGAGAAAGCGTGTCATTTAACTCACCTTAGATGAATACTGTGTATAGCATCACCTCTTACAAATACGAGTGATGGTTGTCTACCTGTCCAAAACAATATCTTTTCAACCACACCTAGAGCCACCTCCCCCTTCCTACCTTACGTGCCAACCACCGCTATGTCTCTGAAGCACTTTGTCAGAGTAGCACATTGCACGTGTCTTCCCCAGAGATGTGCTATTGTCACGAAATCATTAAAATTACAGTGTAGCCCCTAAGAAATTCAGCAAAGGAAATCTTTTCAGTAAAACGTATTAAGTACAGAAATGAATTACTCGCCTTGTTGATTGGTTTAAAATATTCTTGTTGCGCACTCCCAAATTCACACATATTCAACATACCTTCAGATAGGAACCATAGTGAGAGCAGCACCTTTCCTGTCTTCATCTTTACCTCCTTTGAGGAGTAATGCACTCAATGAGCTGGGTAGCCGCAGCTGATCCATAAAGAGTACCTTAATCCCTACGTCACCATATCCCGTAAGAACCTTACTCCTCTCCCCAATCGCCTCTACCTGGAAACTAGCTTTCAGTGATTCGTTTACTAGTCCACCTTTGTTCATCTGCTCCCACATTGCTAATATAACAACTTGCATTTATGTAGCACCCTTCAAGTCGGTGTAGCATCTCAGAGCGCTTAATACTCCTATCAACATCCTATCAATATCCTATCAATACTCCTGTCCTCACACATGAAACAATGTGGAAACATACACTGAAAATGTACATGTAATCACAGCAGGTTTGTCAAATGGCAATTCGCTGGCAATCACAAGAAAATGTCCTGGTGTAATATCCCTGATTGTTATTAGGCTTCAATAATCAGGGAGCCTGGAGGAATGTCAGACTGAGTCCTGGGAGCTCTGCTCCTGCTCTGCTCCTCTGCTCCTACTCTTGCTCCGCTCCCGCTCTGCTCCTCTTGCTCCGCTCCCGCTCTGCTCCTCTTGCTCCGCTCCCACTCTGCTCCTCTTGCTCCGCTCCCTCTCTGGCTCCCACTCTGCTCCTCTTGCTCCGCTCCCGCTCTGCTCCTCTTGCTCCGCTCCCGCTCTGCTCTGACACAATATACTGTCAAAAGGGACTGACAACAAGTTCCTCACTGACCAAACCATGAAATCGGAGAGCACGAATGGGAGAGAGCAAAACTCTTTGGGGCAGACAATACTCTGCGATTTTTTTTAAAGGCAACAATATAATGGTTCCACTGGGGCTCGAACCCAGGACCTTCTGCGTGTAAAGCAGACGTGATAACCACTACACTATGGAACCACCGATTAACCGACCATACACCATCAACATCCAAGACAAAGCCACAGGCGAGGCCGCGCTCAGAGACACAGCGACCCCCCCAGGCGCTGGCAGGTAGGACAGCGCCCTCCTCCCCAAGCGGTGGATGGAAGGACAGCGCCCTCCCCAGGCGGTGTCAGGAAGGACATGTCACTGACTGACAGGCTGTGTGTCCCACACTGAGCAAATGATACACTACAGTATAAATTATTATGATTATTATTATTATTATTATTATTATCATCATATACTACGTATTATATTATAACATGTTATAATGTTCTTTATTGCACACATTAATATTATATTACATATTTAATGTATTACATATTTATGAATACTATTGTTTATGGATTAAAGAAGATATAATTGTAATATAATTACACAATAAAACAAGAAAGGAAGGAAATGAGGAAAGAGAGCTGATCGTACTGTCCACCTTGGGCACCTGTCTATTTATAAAATATTAATATTATTATTATTATATTGCATTGTAAAATATTCCATCATTGTAAGCGGGGGCTCCTGAGAGCAGAACTGGCTCCAAGGTGACTTGCCTGGTAACGGAATGTCGGAATTGGGTCAGCCCTCCGTGGCGGTCTGGGGTCTGGTTCCTGAGCCAGGCGGGTACGAGGTATTCCAGGGCACTGCTGATACCAGCACAGCCCAGCCTGGCTCAACAGCGGGACCTGGAAGGGCAGACCAGTCACTGGGGGCAGGGAGTCATCCCACTCAGCTCCTGTTAACCCCGCAAGCCGAAGCGTTAAAGGGTAAGGGTGGTCCTAGCTGGACAAGCAGCGGGAAAAGCTTGCCAGGCAGTGATATCAATGGCAAGGTATACAGTGTTTGCTGTTTAGACTCCAGCAGTAACCCAACGCAGACTCTGGGGTCTCCAAGCCTTGGCTCTTGCCAAACTGCACCTCGAATTAGATAAGCAGATTGTGTCCCTCCAGGGGGAAGAGAGAGTGTGGATTTTATTTCAGATGCAGAGAAATTACCATGTAAAGGAGGCACACATTTGTGGAACTCTGTCTGGTTTAGATTCTCTTTAGCATGGTGGTGGGTTTCAAAATGCCATGTGGGAGGGGACGGTGAGTGTGGTCTCCATGGAGCTGAACTGGTTAAGAGATGATGTAGTTGACAAAGGAATGTCGGAATGGCTGTTTTAATTCATAATTATATTTTCTATTTCTATCAGTAATAATAGTACATTTTACTCAATCTGCTTATCAATTATAATATGAACCTACTGATTCATTTACAAATTGACTTTTTAGGGTTTCCAAGGGTTTTCTTTCAAGAGAAATGTCATACTGCGTCAGACGCTGAAAACAAAAAGCTTTGCCATGATTAATGTTCTTATTTTAGAGATGAACGGCATAAATTAGCTCTCAAAAAGGAGAGCGGCTTTGGGAGCAAACCTGCATCCCGTTGCCACGGAAACTAATTTTCCACCCATCCTTTCAAGATCTACCATTCTAAATGAAATGGGTGAGATTATTCTAAACACAGCATTTCCCTAATGTTATTGCGCTCTTACGGTTCGTTTGTTGTCTTTTTTTTTGTTACAAATTATTGTTTGCTGTGTATCATTGGAGGTTTTTGTTTTGGTAATTAAAAAAATACATTGTTGTTTTAAATGTTCTGGCCAAAGATCAGTATGGCCTGGCTGTCTAACCTCTAATTCGTATTCTAAAAATAATTGCCACACTTAGGGTTAAAAATACAATAAAAATAATAAAATACCTTGTTTTTTATGCATTTGCTTTGACATAAAATAGATTTTCAGCATATTTTATTGAATATAGAAACTAGCATTCAAGGAACATATTGATTTTGGTATTTATTTGTTGATTTTGGTGCAATGTTAATAGTCAAACCAACATTTCCACTTCACATAAACGCACAATTTTTCTTAAATTGTTTCTGGTTTCCTTAATTTAATAAAGTGTGCAATTTTACACCTTACTTTCCCTCTTCAAAGTGATCATTCTGGGCTGTACAGTTCCACAAGCACTGGCATTCCTCATTGCTTCAACTATTCTCCTTGGTGTGGAGATAAGTAGGGTCTCCATCGGGCTGAGTTGATTCGGAGGTGCTTAGCAACGAAGGTCGGATTCAAGTTGATGGTCTTGGTGATGGATTTCAGCATGTGTCAGACACCCGTCTAACCCCCCAAAATAGTGCCGTACTCAGTGGCGTAACAAGACACGGGTCCTGATGCAAGAATAGGTTAGGAGCCCCCTTTCCGTTTACAAAATCTAAAATATTGCTTACACACCATTCCAAGCCCAGGAGTCAAGTAAGTATTTCAGAAATGGCTCAAATATTTTTGGGTGGTAGGAGGTATGTTTCTGCCCCACACATTCGGCACCAATGGGTTGGCCTCAATAACCTTGTGGGCCCTAGTGTTACTGCACTACTTGAACGAGTGTAGTTACGCTCTGAGTTGCTACCCTGCGTGATGGGCGCCATATAAATGAAAATTGTTGTTGTTGGATGCTACTGGCCATAATCCTGAGGTTTAGATGCCTCAATACAGACTGGGGATTCTACTCTCATGTCATCCAAAATTCTAGTCTGGGTTACATGGGGAGACTTTAACAATACACGATTATAATGGGAGAAATCTCATTGCCAAAGGCAGTACATGTAGTGCTGGTCAGAATTTCAGCCCAAATAGTCTGTCTGATTCACTACCACACTGCACAGCACAGATATACACTGAGGAGCTTGATACTGCTTATTAATAGCCATAGCCTAACATTAAGTATTCCTGGCTCACCGATAGTCAAGGAATCTCGCCTGCTGATTCTCCTTCTGTATTTATAAGGAAACCCACTGCTTCCAGCAATTATGCGCTAGTCAGAGGCAACATAAGGAGCATCACAGGAGTACAAGCTGGTCCTCTATAAATTATTAAAAGCTCGATTAAACTGCTTTAATGTTGCTCTTAGTATCTCGGTGTGCGCTATTGCTGGGTGTGGAGTGTGGCAGATCTCTACAGAATGGTTCTGCACTGCAATAACAGAGTCTGCACTGCAGCAGAAATCACAAGTATGGTTGCAAACCACTACAATTGCAGTAAAAATAGATGGGAAATTCCATCACATGCCTCATTTTCTCCTGTATTATCTCTAAATAGTCAGGCAAAATATGTTTACAGCTGAATCATTATTGTGCAATAATAGTGGACATACGACGTTGTTGTAAATGACACCTTTGGTAATAATTTCATTTGATATAGTAGAGATAACATTAAAATGTCACAAAGCACTTCACCCTGAATTGCTGTCGAGTCCAGTGACTGTGTTTGTAGATAAATGTGGTAGCCACTTTGCACAGAGCAATGATCAATATTTTCTGGACACTAAGAGAAACTCTTCTCGTGTGAAATAGTATCATTGGATCTTTAACGTCTGACTAAATAGGCTGACAAATCATCAGTTTTGAGGATAGCCACTCTGACAAAGCAGCATCCTGTGCTGGAGTGTTTACTAGAATAGGAGCTTAAATATTGAAGTGAGACAGCACCTTGGGCCGTCCTCCCGACGTGAAAGGTGCTATACAAATGTAATTTTGTATTGTATTGAATCCACAACTTTCTGATTTAGAGGCAAAAGTTCTATTAATAAGAATTATTGAAAATCTAGTGAAGAGCTGTCGACTTTAAGATGGCTATCTTAGCTTTTTTTCTTTTGTGAGCAGTTTTTCTGTTTCCAGTATATCCATATTACTCCTTCCCCCCCACTCCACCAGTTTCTGGTCTCATAATGTCTCTTGTCTTCATGGGATCTCTTTCTCCAGCATGTACTGTAATTCACAAAGGATGGTGTGGGGGGTGGGGGGTGGAAAAACAAGTGTCAGAATACATTTTGTTGCTTCATTGCTTATTTTGACCTCTGTTTTGTCACAATTCAGGTGTTTATCTTCATTCATCGGTATATTATCTATTAGTTTATTTACAAAAGCAAGATGCATTTGAAGGTGGGAGTGGGGGGGGGGAGGAGGGTTAAAACACCTATAATATGTCAAGTGTTTCACTTTATCAAGTGTCTCTTTTCACATAACAACGTGTGTGTAAAGAAAGATACAGCCAGTCCATCGGGAGCCTTATTTGTAGGACAACAAATCCATGTTTTTTTCCCTCACAGGAGGTAGCAGCTCTTTAATCATATGGATCATGTGATCAGACATTCGGACTGGATCATCTTGGCATATCAGTGCAGGCTGAACATAGGGATGCAATGAGCAGCAGCACATTTGTGACTGCGAGCTCATCCCAGACAAC